GAGGAACCGAGGCTTCACCCAGAGGTGGCACTGCAGAGGGAGGGGCAGCATCAAGGCCACAGGAGGCAGCAGGCAGCCCACCCTGCCCAGACAGGTTGTAGGTGCTCCCAGAGGCAGTGTCATCCAATTTCAGCCAAAGTAGATGTTTGGGGCATCCCTGGCAGAGCCCCACCGTGGGGTAGTTCTCTGAGGCTAGAATGGTGCCAGGCACACAGCAGCTGATCAATCATTGTTACGTGGATGAATGAATGAGTCATTGAGTGAGTGAATGAATAATATCTCATGTGAACCACAAACACTTGGGAAGTGAGGTCCTTGTGTCTAGGAGATTAGGAAGACAGAAAAGGCCAACCCCACAACCAAGACAAAGCCCCTAGAATAACTTAGAACTTTCCTCTGAGAAAGGAGGGCATCAAGTAAATCTAAGGGTGATGGAGTTATCCCAGATCTGGCTACCTTAGCCTGGCTGGAAGGATGACCGCCCTGTGCGGCAAGGCTGGGGACTTCTCTCCAGGGGACCCTGACCCAGGGCTCACCTGTTGACATGGGAAACAGGTGGGTGTGTTTACCTTTCAAGCTCATTCCACAGGCTTTGGGTTCTGACATCTGAAAGCAAAATGTGGTTTGCCTAATACGATCCATCTCAAGGCTTGTTTGGCTTTTATGTGGGGTGCAGGAGAGGCCAGGTGTAAACTCAGAGAGAGCTTGGACCAGGGCAGGCAGGCACCCCGAAAAGTCCCGGGCCCACTTGCCTGGCCCCGGGCACTGAAAACAGGTCTGAAGAAGGAGCCCAGGCTGTAGGGACTGAGGGCCCAGTAGGCGGGGCGTGGGCTAGGAGTGGGGGCATTGGGTTCAAACCCAGAGCCACATCCACCACCTGCTCTCAGACTTTGGGGAAGTCAGCGGATTTCTGTGCCTCAGTTTCCTCATCTGGAATGGGGAGGGCACATCTGTCCCTTAGAGAATTGCAAGCAAAAGGAAGAGTAGGAAGCCCACAGCAGGCCTGGTGTGGGTCTGGTACACGCCATGGCCATTGTATGATGTTATCATCATTCTGCCTAAAATATTTACCGTGCATTCCATCCGAGAGAAGAGCCATCCTATTTACATCGAATATGCACCTTCTAGAAATTTCTGGCTAAGTAGGATGCTCAACCCTGGATGTCTCCAATTTTTAAAACTTTTGAATCTCTCAAAAGAAGAACCTCAAGGACAAGGGCAGTTGGAAGAGGGCCGGACGTCCCCTGCCCGGCTCTCAGCATCCCTGGCAGGGTGGTTGCCACACAGCACCCCCTTGGGCCCAGGCCTGGTCTACCCCTGTCAGAGGAAGGTGGGTGCAGCGTCTTTGTTAGTTTTACCTAGAAACCATGACCCAGGGCAAGGTTGAATCATAGGGTCGTCTCTTTATGTTTTTTGGGGTTTTTTCTTCTATTGGGTGAACTCTTAGTGTGGCTCTACATATTTTTTTCCAAAATGTACAACTTACATTAGAAACATGTATTTTCTATTACTGGCCTGGTGGGCAGATGGCATAAACATGTGTCTTCCCCAGCCCCAAGGCCAGATTACATCGCATCATTGCTGGCGCCCATGTCCCGCTTCCTCCTGTCCACCCTCAGCCCCACATGTTCCACCAGGCACACCAGCCGCCCTTGTGCGTGGAGGCCATGCAAGCGCCCCTGGCCAGTCCCGGGAGCAGCTACACAATAGCTCCCCTTGCAGGGAGTGCCAGACCAGCGTTTCCTCCTCCTCGGATGTATAATAGCACCAACCGGATATTTTTAGATTGCCTTTGAAAAGTCGCAGTGTGCTGAGACTGCATACCAGACGCGTGAGGTCACTGGGCCCCTCACTAGTAATCGCAGAAACAGAGTGAGTGGGCCCCACATCCCTAAGACATTCCCTCTTCTCTACAGGACGCCAGGCCTGGCTGTTTCCTTAGAAATCGCCATGGAAATTTGTCCTGAATTCAAAAGGGACCACTGTGGATCTTCGGAGTGCAAATGTGCATTTCTGGGGTGCCTCCAAGGCAGGCCCTGGACCTGGGTGCTGTGGGGACCCGTCACAGAGGGCCCTTTGACCCAGGACAGATCCCACATGGGGCCGGGCATTGCTTCACCATCTGCTTGTAGTTAAAACAGGCAGGACTTCACAGGCTCACCCACAGGAGTTCATTTTAGCATAGAGCAGTCGTTTTCCTCGCCTCAGATGCCACCCCACAGGCTCTAGTGAGCGTGGAATGAAAGAAGATGGATCCGCTGTCTGTTTCCCAGAGTGTACATCGAGGGCTTACGGGCTTTGCCTCAAACAACTAACACAATTCCAAGGCTGAACTTGGGGGAAACTGGAGATTAAACCTAGCAAGACAGTTTTCTTTCCCAGAGGAGCCCTCAGCGCCTACAGTGTATGTGGGGGCCCGCATAGCAGGAGGAAGAGTCCAACAAGGCCCAGATGGCCCAGCCCTGCAAACCCCTTGTACCTACGTCTGTGTATAGCAATGCTTCTCAGCCTGGGCAATTCAGCCATCTCTGGGGACATTTTTGGTTGTCCCACATGTTCTGATATTCGGCAGGTAGAGACCAGGGACACTGCTCAACACCCTACATTGCACAGGACAATACACCCTAGAGCATGACCAGCCTCAAGTGTCAGCAGTGCCGAGGCTGGGAGCCCTGCACTGGGTTCCAGAGACACTCAGGAGAGCAGGGTGGACCCGGGCCTGTCCCCCAACAGCTGATGCACAGCCACTAACCAACAGCTCGGCCACATGCATCAGAACCTGGTGACAGGCCCATTATTTAATCAGACCCTCCAAAGACTTTTTCAAAACCCACCAAGTGATGGGTCCCAAGAAAGATTTGTGAAAAAGAGGAAGGTTCAGCTCTGTGGCTGCTGTCTGACTTGGGAAAGTGAGTCTCCTCGGGCTGGGTTACACCCCCACAATGCCTTGTGGAGCGCCCAGCTGATGTCCCCATCCTGAGTGGATGCCCCCTGCACAGTGGGAGGCCTGGTCGCATCTTCGGGGCCTCCCCTTCTTTATCACTCTCCCGCTTGGTCACTTTGCAGTTGGCTCAGGTTTTACAGGGAGGTCTGGAGCCCCTGAAGCAATGGGGCAAGAATGCGCTCGTCCCATGACCCCATCAGCCAGGAGCGTGAGTGGCATGTGGGCCCAGCCAGGATCCCATCCTGATCTCAGGCTCTGCTGAATGGAGCCATTCTCTAAATAAGCGTCCTGGGCCTTCTCACAGATGCCTTTTTTATGGGGCTTCTGCCTTCAGGCGGCCTCACCAGTTCTGATCAGGGACCCACCTGCATCCATCCCCTGCAGAATGAGACCTTTAAGAAAATCCAGTGTCTCTGTGTCAACGGTCTCCCTGTTCCTGACTCCCCCGCGAGCCTGGCCACCCCTTTCTGCTATGTCCTCAACCCCCCGGCCCCCTACCAGATCGCGGCGGTAGCCTTGCCACCTCCTTCCCACTGCTCTGGCCCTCACCCAGCCTCCCCACGCAGCTTAGCCTCCTCAAAGGGGTACATTGTCAGTCTGACACTCTTCTTGCTGCTGCCAAGCTTCCCATTTCCCTGTGTGACTCTGGGGTGTCACCCCCCATATCACCCTTTCCCTGGCCCCGCCACCCCTACCTCAGCCAGCCTGTCTCCTTGAAACAGGGAACCCCATCCTCAGGCACCTCCTCTGCCCCGCGTTTCCCCAAGGCCCCATCACACCCTCTCCCTATCAGTTAACCCCTTGGGCTATTGATACCAACTGCATGAGAGGGCACCCTGGGAGCTTGGGTGAGGGATAGGAAGTGTTCTCTGTCATAATCTGGGTGGTGGTCACGTGGAGGGTCCCAGGAGGAACCCTGCCATGTTGCAGACTCCATGAACTATGCAGACTTTCCTTTTCATATTGGGAATGAAGCCCCGATTCACGCCACAACTCAGGTGAACTCCAAAAACATCAAGCTGTGTGAAAGCATCCAGACGCCAAAAGACCACATAGTTAGCGTATGCCCCCACTTATGCGAAATGGCCAGAACAGGCAAATCTGTGGAGACAGAAAGCAAATTAATGGTTGCCAGAGGCTGGGCGGGGGAGAGGGGGAGGATGGGGAGTGACTGCTGATGGGACCGGGGTCTCCTTCTGGGGCGGTGGAAATGTTCCGGAACTAGATAGAGGTGGTGGTTGCACAACATTGTGAATGTACTAAATGCCACTGAATTGTTCACTTTAAAATGGTTAGTTTTATGTTGCACCAATTTTATCCCAATTAGAAAAAATAATTTGCTGTGAACTGCTTGTCATCCCACCGAATTGCATGATCCCTCCAGGGTGGGACCTGCTCCCTCACACCCAGTCTGGTGCCCTCCTGGAGGCTGGAGCTCATATCAGCCCAGGACCTGGCAAATTCCTTCTGGAAGGAGCCAGATAGTAAATATTTTCAGCTTTGCAAGCCAGACGGCCTGTCACAGTCACTCTGCCTTCGCAGCACAGAAGCAGCCGTAGACGATCTGTAAATGAACAGGCCTGGCTGTGTGCCAGGGAAACCTCATTTATGGACACAGACGTGAATAGAATTTTCACATGTCAGGAAATATTACTCTTCTTTGAGTTTTTGGGGTTTTTTTAAGTCATTTACAAATGCAAAAACCACTGTTGGCTCATAGGCAGTACAAAAACATGCAGCAGACTGGATTCGGCCCACGGGCCGAAGTTTGCTATCTGAGCAATTATACACTAGGAAACAATTCTGATGACTTCCATTTTTAATGTCTGAGACTTAAAACTGGAGCCCCTCCCACAACCCAAACACAGATAAAGAGCAAGTATGTTGGAGCGCACCTGGACTGCACACCTTTCTGTTCTCCAGTTGTTACCTGGGCCGCTGAGTGACTTCCAGCACGAGTGTCCGTGATGCCCAGAGGAAGCGCCAAGGCTCCAGGTTGAGGCCTGTAGAAATTTCATCCTCACCATCTGAAAACCTATTTCTGTTTTCCTTTCAGGCTTTTGGGAATGCCAAAACAGCCCACAACAACAATTCCAGCCGATTTGGGAAATTCATCCAGGTCAACTACCTGGAGAGTGGCATCGTGAGAGGGTGAGTTGGCAGCTGCCCACGCTGTGCACTCCAGCTTTTAGTCCAGCTTTAGTGGGTGGGTGGGTGGATGGAAGAATGGATGGATAGTTGGATGGGTCAGGGGATCGATGGATGGATAGATGGATGATGGGTAGATGGGTGAGTAGGTAAGTGATAACTGGATTGTGAAGTTGGTTGCCTGGTAGAAGTTAAACAGACCAACATTTTGTGCCTGAAATGGGAATTTCTTAGGTGCAAGCACAATTACTGCAACTAAATGTAACATTGAAATTGTTTTTATTTGCACACTGGGCAGTATTTACACTTAGGAAAGTATCTAGAAGCTTTGTGCAATGAATTAATGTTATAAGGCATTATCTACTTTGTCATAATTTTTAAACCATAACATGCCGTATTCCCCCATGTATAAGACACACCCTTTTACGAAAAATTTGGGGTCTAAAAACTGGGTGCGTCTTATACAGTGGTTGTAGATCGTTGTCAAGCCATTTAAGAAGTGTGGCATTTCAAATGCCATAGATGGAACTGAGGATAAAGCAATATATGAACTGATTCGTCATCAGACACAGATGAGGACAAGCTAATGGTTGGGAGGTTTGACAGTGATGAGGAGTTGTATGAATTTTATGATGAATAAAACTTGAGTTCAATAACTTTATGTAATACATTTTTTTTTTCAAATTTCGGGCCCAAAAATTAAGGTGCGTCTTATACATGGGAGCATCTCATACATGGGGAAATACGGTAACTTCAGAATTCAGTTCTGTAGGATTTTTTTTCTTTAAAAAATGTATATTCTGTGTAGTTTCAATTGGTTAAAAAAATGTAATTGTGATTTAATAATGCGTAGTGTTTTGGGAGATATAGATATACATGCAAAGAAAGTCTTATAAGCCACTAAAACTATTTCAAAGTAAAAGGGAAAAAGGCATTTTGGCAAAATCCATTGCCTGGTTACTCAAATCCTGCTCCCTCCACAATCTGGTGTGAGAGTCGTCAGTGGCAGTGGAATTTGTAAAGGTTTCAGGTGATGATCTGAGCAGCAGGGTGAGAAGCCCTAAATGTCAGAGGTGGACAGACCTGAGCAACAGACTCCTAGAGGCTGAGAGAAGGCAGTAGCATTTCAGGAAGGAAGAGGGCCTCGAGTGTGATGGGGACTGCGGAGTAATTCTAAACCATCTAGGTTCTCCTGTCCATCTAATGATTGTTCCAGTTGACAGTTCATATTCAGAACGTGAGCAGGAATGTTGTTTGCATGAATCCTTTGGCCTCAGGCTTCCCTTGTTCCTGCTGCCCAGGCTTGATGGGCAGTGGTGTGGGTAAGAGGCCCTCCGTAAATGGACTACTCCAGCCCCTAAGTCCTCCCAGTTGCTCAGAAGCTGGTGATTCTCCTCACGGCCTGAGCCCTCCCTCCAGGCCATCCAATGGCCCCTCCCCAGGCACTGCTGGGCCCCAGCTTGGCACCTGTGTGGGCACCACCACCCACCCTCAGGGTATGCCACCCATGGTTAATCAGAGACACCTGGAGCCACCCACCTGTCCCCACCTGTCCTGCAGGCCTCGGCCTCTTCTCTACAAACACCCTTACCCCTTATTTAAAAACATTTTTTTTTCCCCACGGGTTCAGTAGGAGATGCCCAGAATATCTGACTGGGCAGACAACGCAGAAATGTACTATTTCTGTAGTTCCAGGGCCTCTCTTGTGAAGAGCAGAGATGCCAAGAGGCTGCTTCACGTTTTCCCCGGGCTGGCTCTGCAGGCCAGACAGACACCAGAGCCTTTGCTCCCGGTGGGCACTGAACCCTCCTCCTTCCCCAGCTCTCTCCTTCCCGACTTGGTGTCCTAGGACTGCTGAAACAAAGCAGCACACACCGGGTAAATTCAACCACCAGGAATGGCTTCTCTCCCAGTTCTGGAGTCCAGAAGTCCGAAACCAAGGTGTTGGCAGGGTCACAGTCCCTCCAGACGCTCTAGGGCAGGATCCTTCCTGGCCTCTTCCAGCTTCCGGTGGTCTCAGGCATTCCCTCTTCTATCTTTTAGGACACTTGTCATTGGATTTACTACCTATCTAGATAATCCGAGGTGATCTCATCTTGAGATCCTTCACATAATTATATCTGCAAAGACTCTTTTTCCAAATAAAGTTCCAGTCACAGGTTTCAGGTAGACATATCTTCTGGGGGCCACTTTCAACCCAGTACACCAGCAAGGACTGGCTCGCAGCCAAATAGATGCCCGTGAAGCTCAGGGCCAGTGGCCCTGTGTGGCCAGATCTCATAGACCAGCTTTTGAGAATCCTATCTGTGGCCTTGAATTCAGGAAAGAAAGTCCCCCGCCTTGGCCCATGACCATGGCCTGCCCACGCTCCAACGAGAGAGGTGTACTTCCTGTCCAGGGAGCAGCTACAGCCTGCTCACAAGGAGCAGACCCAGACCTGGTTCTGCTTTTGGGCAGGTGACACTTCTCGATGCTGTTTCCTGCTGAGGCCAAGGGTCAAGGGCAGTCTAAACCTTCCCCCAGTTCCCCAATTTGCAAGGCCTGGTCTTCCTGTAGATTCAAGGGCTCCATACCAGGGGATCCCTGGCCCCCTACTAACCCTCATAGGGGCCTGTGCCTCCAAGATGATTGGAAAAGGAAAGGGGCTGTCCATCAGTGAGATGGTAGTTCTGGGCTGGCAAGGGGTTGCTGTCTGTTCCCATATGTTGACACAGCCTAGGGAATCAGCCACAGTCTGAAATTCCAACAGGAGTCTAATTCGAGATGCAGCCTCCCTCCCCAGGAAAACAAATTGCTGCTAGCTAAAATAGTTATTAGAGGGGTAGGAATAGAAGAAAACACGGGTTTGAAAGAAGGGAGGACGCAGGTGGAGCCCTTGGGAACCCACTTGTGCATGGTATGTGTGGATGTCCTATGCATACACACATATGCAGACAGAACTGCATATGTGTATATGCAGTCTAAGACTGCAGACAGAACACTGCCATCCTGGAGAGACAGGCAAGTAGGATACAGCAAGTCCTGGACCAGGGGCCCACCCCTGCCACCCCTTAGGCACCAGCTGCCTCTCCTGTAAAATAGGACAGACTCAGATGAGATTGGCCTGCCAACCCGCCCAGCTCCCACACTTGGTGATAAGTGGGAGCAGGGCCCATGCCAGGCTCAGGTCCCCGTCGGGCCACCTCCCATCTGTGGAGTCCCCAGCAGTGTGTGACCGCTCCAATTTTAGTACCTCATCTATTAACAAGAACCATAGTGCCCACCCCAGAGGGATGGGAGGATTCAGGGTGTTAAATCCTACGAAACAGTGCCTAGAACACTTGCCATCACTACTATTAGTGCTGATAGTGTAGCTATAGCAGTACCTGGTACCTGCCCCAGCGCCCGTACAGCCTCATGGACCCATGTCCATCAACTGACGAACGGATAAACAAAATGTGGTGTGTCCATATATGTGGAATATTATGCAGCCATAAAACAGAATGAAGTTCTGATCCGTGCTACAGCATGGCTCAACCTCAGAATCACTGGGCTGAGTGAAAGAAGGCAGACACAGTATGCATACAGAATGATTCTATTTCTTTAAAATTCTAGAAAATCCAAACTAATCTAAAATGGGGCTGATAGTGGCTGTTTGGGTGTGGCGAGGAATGACACAGGGCCCAAGGAAGCTTTTCAGGGTGATGGATGTGTTCACTATCCTGATTGTGGTGGGTTCATAGATGTTTGCATGTGTCACAACTCATCAGATCGCACACTTTAAGTTTATTGTGCATCAATTGCACCTAATAAAGCTGTTTTTAAAAATATGGATTATGAGGGGCCGGCCGAGTGGCACATTGGTTAAGAGCTGGCTTGGGACGCCAGAGGGCCCCGGTTCAGATCCCACATATGAGGGCCAGTGACACTGCCCTCCACAGCTAAGATGCTGAACAACAGCTCAACCTGGAGCTGGGCTGCCATGAGTCGCCGGCGACAGCGTAGGCTGCAACCACTGCTGCAGTGGGTTGCCATGGGCTACCGTGTGTAGCCAGCAGCCAGCGTGAGCAGCCAGCAGCCACAGTGAGCAGCCGTCCAGAAGCCGGCGACTGATCTGCCTCACCCGGGAAGAGCGCAATGATGGTGCCAACTTGGGCCAGTGAAGCAACGTCCTCCACAACTACACTGAAGAACAAAACGACAGCAACTTGTCTGTTCCCCTTCCCCCAATTCCCCAGCACTGTTCCCATCCCCCAATTCCCCAATATAAATAAATAAATAATAAAATAAAATAAATAAAAATATGGATTATCAGAGGATCCAGTTAAAACAATTCACATTGCATGCTTTATGTGCAGTTTATCATATATCAAAAATCAATAAAGCTGTAAAAAGAATAGAAAAATTAATCTGTTGTTATCTGATATTCATTAGATTGTCAATTGGAGAAACATTTAATTGCTGAGGAGGTGGTGGGAGCAGGGGGAGACCTTTCTATATCTTGATGAACACGTGGGTACAATTGCTCCAGTTCCCGCCACCTGGGCTTCTGTGCAGTGGTCAGCCCAAATCTGGCCTGCGGAGCAGAAGTGGCCAACCCAGTTTCCTTATTGTTTTATAGATGGTAGTCACAGGGCGAGGCAACATTTAGGGTGATGGTGTGTATGACACTTGGAATGATTGTATTTTCGACATTTAGAGTGATTATATCTGTGTACCTGTATGCACCGTGTGTTTAAGAAAGTTAACCCACAACTGACTTTACCATGGTAACAAATTACTCTAGTTCTTTAAGGAAACAGTATTAAAATGTAATGTTTTATCCCTTCTTTTTTCTTTAATGACAGAGCTGTTGTTGAAAAGTACCTGCTTGAAAAGTCTCGCCTGGTGTCTCAGGAGAAGGATGAGAGGTAGGAGGAAATACCCTCGGTGAGCCGCCACGTCTGCCTTCCCTACGGAGGAAAGAAGCAGACACCCTGAGAGAGGGGAGCTCTCCCAGGCAGCCATGGCACAGCACTCCTGGGAGCAGGACGTCACCCCAAGTTTTGTGCTCATACCTCTGAAGTCGCCATTTTGTGCTTATTTTTGTACATCCCTGAGGCTTTTTTCTGGAGTTGGTGCTCAGATTTCTGCCAAAATGTGGTTAGATTATAGGCATCTCTGATTGACCAGTGAGTGAGACATATATCCACCGGCCACCCCACCCCCTGAGAAACCTGACTGGAAATCTGACTGGAGAAGCCCGTGCTTTTTTTTGCTTTTTTTTTTTTTGCAGTGGGGTGGGGAGAGAGAGGAAGGTTTAAGCCTTAATAAGAATTGACTTATTGTCTCAAATTTGTACATACTTGAGTTGCTTTTTCCTCTCTGGTGTGGTCTCCAAAGTAGTATTAGTAGTGGTTTGAAGAGTAGCTGTTGTTTGGCCTCCAAAAATGACTTTTTTTCCCTAATTTTGACTCACAGGAATTACCACGTGTTTTATTATTTGTTACTTGGCGTCAGCAAGGAAGAGCGACAAGAATTTCAGCTCAAGCAGCCTGAAGATTATTTCTACCTCAACCAGGTAAACAGCCCAGCCGGCCACAAATGCCACCTCTGTTCCCCTCGGGCTGTTTACGTGCTGCCGGAGGTCAGAGGCCGTCTGCCTTGGCTCTCTCCGGCCCCAGACCAGCTCCAGAGAGGCCCAGAGGAGGAAGCATAAAGGATCCCATTCATTCCCCGTGTCCTGAGCCCTGCCCCACCGGCTCCAGCCAAAATCATTCTCACATGCCACCCTCACTGGCCCAGAAATACCCAGAGTGTTGCTGACTTTGTTTTTCAGCATAACTTGAAGATTGAAGACGGAGAAGATCTGAAGCATGACTTTGAAAGACTCAAGCAGGCCATGGAGATGGTGGGCTTCCTCCCTGCCACCAAGAAGCAGTAAGTGGGCTAGCCAGCCATCCTGCCATCTCCCATATGGGCACCCTCAGATCTTACTGGTCACTCTCTGAGCTCTGACCAACACCCCAGTAAGAGCTTCACTAAGGAGGGTGGCCCAGTGACAATAAACATATGGAAAGGGACTCTCATCATCAGTCATTGGGAGATGCCAATTAAAACCACAGGGGCTTTTGCCCAACAATGTTATTTACCTAACATATGGAACTGAACACTCAAAAATGGTTAAGATGGTACATTTTATATGATGCGTATTTTTCCACCATTGAAATTTTTTTAATTTTTGAAAACCACACCTGCCTGGACAGCCAATATATCCAGCAGGAACACCTGCACCCTGCTGGGAGGGTACAAATCAAGCCAACCACTTGGGAAAACCATGTGGTTGTTTCCACTACAGCTGTGTGTACACAACAAAACACACACATTTGCTCACCCAGAGACATGCATACAAATGCATACAGCAGCCTCCTTTATAACAGACCCAAAGCCTGAAAATACCCCCAGATGCCCACCAACAGGAGATTAAATAAATAAACAAGAGATTAAATAAATAAACAAATGGCAGCCTATCACGCAGGGATCAGCAAACTTTTCGGAGAGGGCCAAATAGTAAATATTTTCAACTTCGTGGTCCGTAGAGTCTCTGTTACATGTTCTTCTCTGCGTTTCATTTTGCTTTTTAATGACCCTTTAAAAACTTAACCAAAACTTAGTTCAGGGGCCGTACAGAACTACTCCACACACAGCAACGGCTCTCATGGGTGGGTTAGGGAGGGTTCTGCCTTGTCTGAAGACATTTTTGGTTGTCACACTGCATGTGTGTGGGAGGCGAGGTGAGTGGAGGCCAGGGATGCTGTTCAACATCACACAGTGCCCAGGACACCCCCCACCCCAGACCCCAGCAAAGAATAATCCAGCCCAAGGTTGCCGGCAGTCCTGTTGCTGAGATATACTTGTCTGTAGCATTGAGAATGAACAAACCAAGTTTGTGGGCAGTAACACATCCCAAGTATTCAGTGACAGGCCAAATACAAGTACATATAATTTCATGGTCATCAAGTTCACGGACAGTGTTAGACATCAGGATAGCAGTTCCTCTGTAGGACTGGGTGGTTCCATGGCTTGGAATGTCCTATTCCTTGGTCTGAGTGCTAGTTAACAGGATCTGTACCTTTTGTGACAATTTGTCTCTGCACTTAGGAATTGTGTGGTTTTTTACGTGTGCTTGTTATGGTCTATAAAAAGAATTTTTTTAAAAAATTAAGCCCCTCCCTTCCCCTTCCCAAAAATAAAATAGAGCTATCTGGCTATCGGGTCATATTCCACAGAGAGAGTCCCCAACAGAGGGATTCGACCTTCTTCAAATGTCATGTGTTCTGACTAGAATTTAATGGTATTATGAATTCAGCCTAGTTGTCTGGAAGCTTTTGTCGTCTCACAATTGTGGGACCACTCCAACTGAGGCTCCTTTTCTCTCCCAGAATTTTTTCTGTCCTCTCGGCCATCCTGTACCTGGGCAACGTCACATACAAGAAGAGAGCCACGGGCCGAGATGAAGGTCTGGAGGTTGGGCCCCCCGAGGTGCTGGACACGCTGTCACAGCTCCTGAAGGTAACACTTCCTGTCCTCAGCGGCCATGGCGCACACCAGGCCGGCTCAGGGCCTATGGCTGCAGAGGACCCAGCACTTCCTGCATTGGCCAAGCTTCTGTAAACTGGGGCCTGCGCCTGCTTCCTCCCCACCATCTCTGCTACATCCCTTCCTCATTTCTGAGGGACTGCCTCCTAGGCAGGGACACCTCCCATTTCAGCCCCTCATGGGAAGGCTCTTTAAAACCACAGTTTGATCAGAGAGGTCATTCTCTCATTGCACCTGCTATCCCCTTGTCCACTAGTTCTCAACCCCAGGGGCAATGTCTGGAAGCATTTTTGGTTGTCACAACTTGAGGGGCTACTAGCATCTAGTGGGTGGAGGCCAGGGATGTTGCTTGACATCATATAGTGCATAGGACAACCCGCCACAGCAAAGAATGACCTAGCCCCAAATTTCAGTGGTGCTAAGGCTGAGAAGCCCTGCCCTATCTTTCTGTTTTCTAAGCATGCATTGCATCTGTGGCTGTTCTTTTTTTTTTTTCTTTAATTGGGGAACAGTGTGTTTCTCCAGGACCCATCAGCTCCAAAACAAGGAATTGTTTCAATCCTGTTGTGGAGGGCGCAGCTCAGTAGCCCATGCGGAGATCAAACTGGCAACTTTGGTGTTGTGAGCACTGTGCTCTAACCAACCCAGCCAACTGGCCGCTCCCTATGGCTCTTCTTAAAGAAGGAGCCCCGGCTTCTGTTGTGTTCATGGGATGAGTGAGCACATCTGCTGGGAGATTAGGGCAGCTTCCCCTGCCCCTACTCCTGACTGCCACTAGCTTGTTTAGGGGGCTTGGCAGTCAGGAAGGACAAGCCCTTCACTGGCTCCTGCACACGGGCTGGAAACAGCTGTATATGCAGCTCACCAGGCAGCTTGTGGGCCTGAGGCCTGCAGTGACACCCAAGCCTGTGCAACCATACACCCCGGGCTGTCAGCCGTGGGCGTTGAGCAAGCCTGTGGGTGTGATCATTCTGAAATGCACTAAGCAGAGCAACATCACGGTTGGCAGCCCTGAGGGTGGGCTTTGGGCCCACTTCCTGGCATAGCCGCTGGGAGGTCCTCCTGCCTTCCTCGGGCTTCAGGCCTTGTCTCATTGACATCAGAACTCACTGGACAAGTTTGTAACCATTCCCCCCATCTCCCTCCTTTACCTTGAAACAGGTGAAGCGAGAAATCTTGGTGGAGGTTCTGACCAAAAGAAAAACGGTGACTGCCAATGACAAACTCATCCTTCCCTACAGCCTCAGCGAGGTGAGCACTGCCCTGGGTTTTCACAGGGTGCCAGGTCCCAAAACACGAGTGGAGGGAGGTCCTTTGGAAACAGCCAGCGTGGGTGGTCTTTTTCCTGCCCCAAAAGTGACAGAGGAAGACCCTGGTGGCGCCTCTGGTTCTCACATGAGCTCAGGCTCAGCACAAGCCAGCTTAGACAGCAAACGGCAGCTTAAGAGGCAGAACTTGGGCCACGTGTGTTCATCTCTTTGTTCCCGGCTGCTCCATGGGCATGCTGGTTCTCACCAGCAGAAGAAGTAAGAGCTGCAACACACAGGTCAAGTCTAGCCTATCACCTGCTTTTGTAAATAAAGTTTTATTGACATGCAGCCATACCTGTTCGTTTACATGCTGCTTTCCTGCTATAGCACAGAGCTGAGTAATTGCAACAGAGAGCATCTGGCCCGCAAAGCCGACAATATTGACTCTCTGGCCCTTTCCAGAAAAAGTTTGTCAATCTGGAGCTAGAGCCTGACCTTTACAACCACTATGTGGGTCCCTAAATCTTGATAAGGTGCCTCTCTGTGGCCTTTGCCCCAGTCTGTATGTTTGTGGTATGTTTTTCATGCGTTTTACATCTCAAGAGCAATGTGACTGCAGCTTGAAGCTTGGACAGCAGCAGGAAAGTACCTAGCCACTGGGGGATTTTTAGCTGTTGGTGGAAGCTGCTTGGGCATCTCAAACAGGCACCATGGACAGTCTGAGTCCCCAGAGGCAAAGGCACCTTGCAATGTTACATGAAAGTTGCTGAAGGACCCCTGAGGCCCCAGAAGCATGGCTGCCCCCCAGAGGTGCCATACTAAGTAAAAGACGTCAGGCCGGGGGCTGCATCCCTCATGCCTCCTTTTCCATGGCTTCCCGGGAAAGGCAGAACCAGAGGGATGTGTTCTGAATCTTGATTGTGGCTGAGTATGTTTTTACAATTTAGATCTGAGTACATAAAAAGAAAGAATTTCTTATATATAAACTAGATCTCCATAAGCCTTTTAAAAAATTGTTAAAGCCATTACTGCTTTTATGATTTTGGCTCCATGGTGCTTCCAGAATAGCAAGAGGCCTAGCTTTGAACGCAGCTCAGCCTCCTGGCTAATGTTCCCACGTGGGAAAGCGTGGTGCCCTCCCTGTGTTCCAATCTCATCAGTACCCAGTGGCTCTGAGAAGTGAGTTGGCACGTGAGAAAGACTTGGCTGAACCACTGGCCTCTGGGTCAGGGCTTTGTGGCTCATGCTTCGATGTGCAGGGGCATCCGAGCTGACGGGATGGAGTGCAACATGAGAAGGAGCATGGGTGTTTAAAGTCACTGCCTCGACTGCCCCTGTGTGCTGATCTCGGGGTGGTGCAGTGTGAGGGCTGCCTTGCCGAGGTGTGACACCCATTCTGTGCCCACAGGCCATCACTGCCCGCGACTCCATGGCCAAGTCTCTATACAGCGCCCTGTTCGACTGGATTGTGCTACGCATCAACCATGCCCTCCTCAATAAGAAAGACATGGAAGAGTCTGTCTCGGTGAGTGCCCCACCCCCACCTCACCTGCCAAGCTGGGCCAAGGGAGGCTGTGCCCTCGGTGCCACGCAGGTGGATGGCCTGTGACATCGGGAGCCAAGGCAGATGCAGCCAGTGTCAGGCAAGAGGCCAATGCTTCCCATCCCAGGACCCAACACAAAATGAAAACACGGGGCTCCTGTTCAAATATTACAGGTTCAAGGGCAGTGAAAGCAGAGCATTCAGCCAAGTGCAGGGGGCCCTCACGACCGAACAGGTGCTCCCACAGGCGGACCCACCATCACACCTGTTTTCTCTGTCTCCCCAGTGTTTGTCCATTGGGGTTCTTGACATCTTCGGGTTTGAGGACTTTGAGAGGAACAGTTTTGAACAGTTCTGCATCAACTATGCCAACGAGCAGCTCCAGTATTACTTCAATCAGCATATTTTCAAGCTAGAGCAGGTAAGGAAGTGCCATTATCACCCATCCAACCCAAGGGAGGACAAGACGAGCTAGAATCGGGATCTCCCTGGGGGTCCAGTTTGTCAGCAAACCTGCCTCAGAATTTTTCTCTGCAAAAAGGGTAAGTCCGGGAAAATCCCACCCAGCCCAGGGTGAGGCAAACTATCGGGGATGTTTTCAGCCACAGGTCAATTTTGCACCTTCTCTCTGCTCAAACATGAAAGTTCCTTAATGGGAGAGAAACAGAGTTTCCTTGTAAGGATTTGCTTCAGTCAATGATATTGATAATCTATATTATGTGTCTTTTCACTACTAAATACTACTAAATCTTTACTGACGTGTTACCCTTCACGTTGATGATTCTGACAGGAAAAAAAAACTGATGGGGTTATATAAATATTTAGCTGATTTTACTGTTATGTTTTCTGGCTGTTGTCAGTCCAAATTGAGTTATATGGGAAGAGCAAAATACATAGTGAATTGCAAAGATTTGGGTATATAGGGTTAAATTAAGTATATTATTAAGTTATCTTCACCTGTTTCTTTTCACATTCTAAAATTTGAAGTTATGTAGGTCACTTACATTATATAGCTATTATAGACATTGCAGTTCCAGAGCGGGGCCCAGGGGTCAAATCTGGCCCCTCTGCCTGTCTTTATAAATCTTTATTGGCACATGGACACACCCTTTTTTTTCCCCTTTTTTTTACATATCATCTGTGGCTGCTTTCAAGCTCCAGCAGCAGAATTGAGTAATTGTGACAGACACCACCTAGCTCTTAATGCCTAACATATTTACAGTCTGGCCCTTTATAGAGAAAGTTTGTTGACCCTTGGGTGACTTTAAGTATGAATTTAAATACCTTGCTGTGATAGATGCTTGAGAATGTTTCATGTTGCTAATAATTAACTTATATAATAATCTTATAATTAATGCACTTCTATTGATATAATACATATTCTGTTTGCGCATCTATATATAAATATGTGCATACATAAATGTAATATGTTTATATATAATGAGCTATGTAAACATTAACAGTCATGAAATAATGAATTTATTGGATATCCCCCCAAACCATGCAGGAGGAGTACCAGAGTGAAGGGATCGCGTGGCACAACATTGACTACACAGACAACATTGGCTGTATCCATCTGATCAGCAAGAAGCCCACCGGCCTCTTCTATCTGCTGGACGAAGAGAGCAAGTAAGTATGCACAGCCTGGTGCATCCACAAACCCGGGCACTTAGTCCGGTTCCGCAGCCCTCAGAGCCTTACCTAAAATGCAAACACCCTGAGAACTTGTCTGAGTTTCTCAGGCTCACTTGGCCACAAATCCTGCCCTCACATTTGCAAAATGTATGTACCATTCACCACGGACATATTAACACATGCAATAACTGAACTCTAAAACACACCCGCCCAGTTCTTAGGAAAGGATTGTGGGACCTGAGTCTAGAAACTGGGAACCTGGTTGGTGCATCTTTGCAAAGGTCAGCACATGGCATCAGGGGCCCAGACACCGGACTCTCTGCCAAGCCTGGCATCCGTTGCCCATAGGACACAGTGAAGGCTGGAAGGGTGCCTCGTGCTTGGTCACACACCTTAGTCACTAAAATCACAGTCACTAATTTTCACTTACTGAATTCATTCCCTGCAGCTGCTGTAATAAGTGACCACAAAGGGGGTGGCTTAAAACAACAGGAATTTATCCTCTCATGGTTCTGGAGGCCAGAAGTCCAAAATCAGCATCAGTGAAATCAGCGTCGGCAGCCACGCTCCCTCCAGAGGCTCTAGAGGAGGATCCTTTTTGCCCCTCCCAGCTTCTAGCAGCCCCAGGTGTCCTCGACTTGTGGCTGCATCACCCCAATCTCTGCCTCTCTGACCATATCACTGTCTCTTCTTCTGTCTGTCTCCATCTTCTTATAAAGACCCCAGTCATATTGCCCACCCTTGTGACCTCATTTTAACTTGACTACATCTACAAAGACCCACTTTCTAAATATGGCCACATTCATAGCTTTCAGGTATCAGGACACGTTTTTTTATTAACACCTCTTTATTGGGCCTTTGTGTGCTGCTGAGGCCCTTGTGAGACTGGGGTAATTAGGCTCGCCTCCTGCCTCACACCAAGTCCCCAAGTCCATCCAGGACGAGGATAAACAGGTCCATTCACACCAGAATCTAGGAAGAGAATTTTCAAACAAGAGAAAGGGCAGGGCATGAGGAAGGGCTAAATTGTCACTCCCAGGAAACTCCCAGAGCCGCATCTGGGGGAGGCGTGCAAGGCAGGGCCAGGCCCAGCAGTGTTGGAACTATCTTTGCTTAATATCTGGCCATTTTGATTCATCATGGATTTTTTTCCTACATTGATTTAGATTTTCTAAAGTAGTTCACTAAAATGTTATTTATCCTGATGATCACATGAGCAGGTCCCTCACTCTCCACACCCTTTCCCCGACAATGGAAATAATGTGCTTCGTAGCTGCAGGATCTCCCCCTTCGCCTCCACCCCCATTAAGCCGTGAGCATTGGGGATGCAGAGGCACGTTGCACTGCTGTGTTTGTGGCGAGGCTGGGCACAGGCAGGGTGTGCCAAAGCAGGCTGGCATATCCGTCCCGGGAGGTAGAACAGCCAGGTACAATTGGTGCCTTATTCTGCCCCTGCGCCCCTCCCTCTAACAGGGGAGCCCGGGCAAGACCCCCTCCAAGACACAGCATCCAGGTATAGACAGATCCAAAGTCAGAAGCCACCCCATCCTGGGATCATTCCTGGGAGCTGCCCATGGTGGGCCCAGATCCTAATCTCACCACTCTTCCCCGCACTGACCTCACACCTCAGCCCTGAATGCGTCCCTTCCCTCTTGGCCCCTTTATACCAGGTGGCAGGTTCCTGGCCCTCAGCCTCACCACCCAGAGCAGCCTAGCCTGAGCCCCGCTTGCCCACCTTGGCAGCGGAGGGCCTGCAACGTGCCATGCAGAGCAGGTGATCAGCGGCTGTTTATGCAGCTAACCATTTCGAACCCTCTTCCCAGCTTTCCCCACGCCACGAGCCAGACCCTGCTGGCCAAGTTCAAACAGCAGCACGAGGACAATAGGTACTTCCTTGGCACCCCAGTCATGGAGCCTGCGTTCATCATTCAGCACTTCGCAGGGAAGGTGAAATATCAGATCAAGGTATGCGTCAGGCCTGGGAGGCAGGAAAGGGATCACGTGGGTGACCTGGAAGCCCCTTCCCTCTGGCACTTGGTCAGTCCTTCCCCTTTATCAGTCATGCTGGGCGAGATGCCAGGGTGCTCGGACCCAGTCCTGAATCTCTGGCCCCAAATCTCCCACTCCGAATCCCTGGCCCCAAATTCCTGACCCTGAATCTCTCACTCTGAATCCCCAGCCCTGAATTCCCAACCCCGAATCTCCCACTCTGAATCCCTAGCCCCAAATTCCTGACCCCAAATCTCCCATTTGAAATCTCTGGCCCCAAATCCCTGGCCCCAAATCCCTAGCCCTGAATCACCAGCTCCACAGACAGGAACCACTCTCTTGTGGCAATGGGCCCTGTCCGCCACCAGCCCTTCCTGTGCTTGCACCAACGAGTGACACCCCCCACACACACACCTCTTTCCCACCAGGACTTCCGGGAGAAGAACATGGACTACATGCGGCCGGACATCGTGGCGCTTCTGCGGGGCAGTGACAGCTCCTACGTGCGGGAGCTCATCGGCATGGACCCGGTGGCCGTGTTCCGCTGGGCTGTGCTCCGGGCTGCCATCCGGGCCATGGCTGTGCTCCGGGAGGCTGGGCAACTGCGGGCTGAGAGGGCTGAGAAGGCTGCAGGTAGGGGCAGGGGGCGGGGGGCTTATCGAGAGGGGAAACACTCATAGTCCATTGTGAAGTGCACCTTTCAGTGGCATTCAGGACATTCCTAATGCTGTGTAACCACCACCTCTGCCAATTCCAGAACTCTCGTCGTCCCAAACAGAAACTCTACTAAGTGTATAATTTAACCTCGTTCCCCTTACAAGACAGGAAGTTGTGTCTGCGTTTGTCTGTGACAACCTGGGGTCCAGGTGGGCTAAGTGGCTCCCTTAGGGCCACTGGGCTTCGGACAACAGCCGTGGGCTCTGTTTTACGGCGGGCATCGATTAAAAGGAGGACCAAAAGGATAAGGCCTTTATGAGAAGTAGGACTAAATGGTGCTGTTTGGGTATCAGAAATTTCACAGTTCCCTGCTCTACCCGCATTTGAGTATCAGGCTGTTTTTTTAAGGTGGGTTAAGGCAGGAACACAGCCTCCTGGAAGAGACAAAGGCCTTCAAGCTGCAGGCAACCCTGAGCTGCCAACTCCATCTTATCTATGTCCCCAGCAGGTCTGGGCAGCCCTGGCGCCCGAAGTCACCTGGGAGAGCTGCAGAAAGGAGCTAGCACCCCATCGGAAAAGCTGTACCGGTGAGCAAGTCCTTGATTTGTCCCAATCGAAGCCGGTAGGCAGTAGCATTGTTTAAAACAGTGCCAGAAACCCCACACCCTGAACTCAAGTTGGGGTTGACCTTACACAGCAGCCACTTGAACCAAAAAGACCCAGAAGCAAACAACGTCTGGCTGCCACTTTTCTACACCCAGAAAGGCAGGACTCTCTTGGTGTATTATCTGCTTTAGGAAGATTTGGGGTGGCTCAGTTTACAAAGGATCCTTTTCACTGCTGGGGTGGGTGGAGCCAAGGGGCCTCTGGTCCTACAGAGTGACAGGCTTGATTTAAAAGCACTTCCCTCAGCCTGGGCCGGGATTCCCAAAAGCAGACCTGCTAAGATACTTTATTCACAGTCAGAAATACCAATACCCCCTTGTTGCACATGAGATGACATGGGATGTTTTGTGGCCACTTAGCAATGACTGAGGGCCCTCCACACACTCCAGTTTGTACTGAGTGTAAACGTGAGTGTGCACATGCTCCCAGGAAGGTGGGGTGGAAAAGGACAGATACCTGAGCAAGGACAAAGCCAGAGGAGGGACCTGTTGAGCCAGACAAGGCAGACTGGGTATGCTAGCAGTGGGGGCAGCATGTGCCAAGGCCCTGGGGGCAACCAAGTCCCTGACTTTTTTTTCTCAAGACTCATAAATCCCCAAAGAGCGAGTTACTAAATTTTCAAATATGAAAAAGTTATTTTATTTTTGTCGCCTTTGCAATAAAAACTTCTTCAAGAGATGCATGTAAGTGTGTGTATGAAGGTAGAACTCGCACCTTCATAATAAGTGACTGGATATCTGAAAGCACAGTGTCTCATTTTCCTGCGTTTAAAAAGTTGCATTTTTTTAAAATTATTTTTTATTGTGAAATACACATTTTTTAGAATTGGTTTCAGCTGTACAACACAGTGCAATAGTTATACTTTTTACCCCTCGAGGTGACAACTCCCCTCCCCCAATCCAAAAATATGGAACGCTTCACAAATTTGCATGTCATCCTTGCGCAGAGGCCATGCTAATCTTCTCTGTATCGTTTCAATTTTACTATATGTGCTGCCGAAGTGAGCGCAAAAGTTGCGTTTTCAAATAGGCTTTTTCATCCAAAAGGGGGCAAGAGAAAAAAAATGCATCCCCCCCACCCCACCCCCCATTTGCTTGTGGCCTTTTTTGTTTTTGTTTTTGTCCTGCAAAGACTGAAAGGTGGCCCCTGACCAGCAATTGCTGAAGCAATGTCAGTCTCCCCGGGGCATGGCCCCCCGGGCTGGGCTGCGGCTCCTGCCCCCTGGACTGTGGTTCCCACCCTGGGAACACATTTAGTTTATACAGATTCTCCCTTACAGCTGCTCAATGCTAGATTTCTCAGTTGACGGCTCTGAGGAGTTCGATATTAACGCTTTTGAGGACATCTTTGCTTTCTATGAAAGCAAGAAGTAAGTAGAGCGAGGGCCTTCGAACCCGAGACCAGGGAGGCACAACAGAGGAGCCGGTGTCTCAAGGCGTCCAGGGCCAGGAGAGAGGGAATGGGGAACCAGGGAGCGCCGGGGCCTGCAGGGGGCGCTCTCGCCATATTTGGCCAAGTTAGGGGGTTATGGTCAGAAGCCATGTATGGGCCTTGTCCAGAGCCCTGGCCGCTGCCTTGCCCGCTCAGGGTGTGAAGGTAAATGTGACCGCTCTGTTGTCTTTGCTCTCCGTGCCTCCCTGGAGGGCGAGGGAGCAGAGGTAAGTATGGCCGTCAGGCCCAGGCATGGTGCATGGAACACACGAGGGGCTGCCGGTCGGGGTCTTTCCAGGCCAACTGCCTAGAGCTTAAACATGCATTTGAAATAACTGGAATAAGGAATTTAAAACAAAAACGAAACAAGCAAAAAACCTGAATCTCCCATCTTCATCCTGCAGTCATTGCTACCTCACTTCCCAAAGTTCTAACAAAGACGTTTGTCATCTAGACATCCTTCACAAATATCCATTTTCAGATTTTTGCCTCTAAGCCATTCTCATTGTCACACACTGGTGCCAGAGTTTGGACCTAGAACATACTCTCAGACCTGAACCTGAACCCATAGTCATTGAACAAAACGGAGCTTATAAGTTTGAACTCCTAAGATCTCCTTCAGCCAGGGTTTCCCACCCTCAGCTCTGTGCCTGTCACTCTGGGGTGGGGGCCGTCACGTACCATAGTAGGTTGACCACCATCCCCAGCCTCCATCTACCAGACGGCCTCCATCTACCAGATGCCAGTAGCATGCCCCCACGTCCCCCCTACTCGTGACAAGCAAATGTCCCCTAGTGGGAGGGGAGGGAAGACAGCATTGCCCCTGTTAAGAAACCCTGTGTGAATTTCATTTTTTTCCTCCCAAGGCCTTTCTTGAAGCCCACAAGGAGGCTGACATGTGACCGCAGAAGCATCAAGAGAAACTAATCTGTTTCCCACAGAGACCTCCCCCTCCCCCCCCGGCTATTTTCAGCAGCCCCTTAATACTTTTCACAGATTCCAAAAGGCTCTTCAATGTGAGGCCTTTTCCAATGGTCTAAGAGACCATGTTGCAATATTCATTTGTCCCGAAGTGGCCCCCACGCCCCCTGAGGAGGGGGAGCCTCCCTGGGGTGGGGACGCTCCTAGCCAACCTCCCCCCCACCACCACCACCTTATTGGTGCAGGAGGGACAGGCAGTGGCGGGCAGGCTTCCCAAGCTGCATGTTTTGGCTCCAGTGGCCTGAGGATAGTCCCGACCGTGCCAGGGACCCCAAGGTGGAGGGCCCACTACTCTAACTCTGTCTCCTCTCTGTCACTGCACCCCCCCACCCCTTTACTCTCAGCGATTTGCATGACCAAATCATCAAGACCATCAAAGGATTGCCCTGGCAGGGTGAGGACCCCCGTAGGCTTCTCCAGTCCCTCAGTCGGCTCCAGAAACCCCGCACCTTCATCCTGTGAGTCCCCCAAAGCTGCGGGTGCTCCCCCACAAGTGCAACGACCGCCTCCCCTGCTCCCTGGACAAGTAACCTGCTGAATCAGCTGCTATAAACGCTGCGCTCTGTCTTGTAGTTTCGTTCTCACACCAGCCGTCACTCAGTGGCCCTCGTGATACACCCGCCCCGGCGTCTGCACTGTGGCCCAAATCCCCGCCAGCTTCGCAGGACGCACCTCCCATGAAGTGTCTAATTCTCTACCCCCAAACCTTCAGAGCAAAGCTTGCTTCCTTCTCTCCCTCTGTCACTGTGAGCTTATAAAGAAACTGTCAGAAGTAGGGCCAGTGATTTTTGTGGCCCTGCTTTGTGTGGATGGTGGTATGATGTGGCATTATGTGGCCTAGAAGCCACATAAACTGGGTTTGGACCCAGACTCTCTCCAGCTCACTCACCCCATGGCCTATGTGTTCCAAGCATTCGTCCTCCATCTGCAACGCAGGGGTGATGATTTTCATACCCACAGCATCAAGCAGACACTCAGGGCTGGCTGAGGGCACAGCTTGTACCCACAAGGGAGCCAGTTTCCAAATTCATGTTTATTAGGCCTTATTCCACCCCGTGGGGATGAAGATGAAACCTGACATGTAGAACCTCACAGCCACGCATGCTGCCAATCAGTGGGGCCCTGTCTCAAAAGTGTGCCAAGCTGTAATCTTTTTTAAAAAATGTTTTTCTTTTGTCTCTATAAAGTGGAGTGTGAGGGCTGTCCACCCTTCCTCGGGCAAAAGATCAGCTTTCATTTTTACCTTTGCACCAGTGCGAGTCCAAAAGACGCTTCTACTTGGGCCCCATTTCCATTTTTTGCAGGGCAGACCCCTGCCCTGCTACCAGGATGTCCAGAGGGGCTCTGTGGGCCTGCTTCAAGTTTGCCAACACGTAGCAAATAGAGCTGGGACACCTCATAAGTGTTGGAACCTCTCGGGGTCCCTCAAAGCTCTATTCTGGGTATCCCCATCATTTTGTGAAATCCATCAGCTACCCCACTGCTGGCCCTGTGCAGATGCATGTTCTGCCATGTAGGCCCAGCCCGTCCCTCCTGCTCCCTGGACATACAGGTGGCCCCCAGGCCAGATGCTCCTGTTGCCTGGGGAAGCCAATGTGCACAGACCGTAGGAGAAGCACCCTGCTGGGTCCTTGGAGAGGCAGCGGCAGCGGCCTCGTTGCACTTGTGCTTCTCGACTCTCCGCTCTCTCTGCTCTCGCTCCGTCTAACCCGCCAGGCGTGGCTTGCTGAACTAACCTGGATCCAGACCCCATGTTCCTTCTGTTCACAAAACCATTTTTAATATTTTGACAGGAAAAGTAAAGGTACCAAACAAAAGCAGATCATTCCGAAGGTAAACACACGCGACACCGTCTAATGCCGCCTTTTTTTGCCTGTCTTAGAGCGCCTGGCTCAAGTCGTTTTCTGGAAAACGGGGGCGAGGGGGGTGGTTTAACTTCTCTGGCTTCTGGCTTCTTTACTTCTTTCCTCTTTCCCCCATCTCCTGTTGGAAATGATTTGGGGTTGTCTTTCTTTGGGTTTCTTAGAAGCAGAATTTGCACAAGGGAGGTATAAAGGAGACCTCCTAGGAGAACCCTAAGACGGGGAAGGGGAGGCACTAAGCAAGGAGGGGAACTCAGCCTGGTCCACGGAGAGCCTTGGAGCATGTACAGTACCACAGAGCTTATCTGCTCAGAGGCAACGGACCCTTCTGTCCTACCCCAAATCGAGGATCTTTCAAGCCACCTCCAGGGGTCGCAACGCATCATGGGCATTCAGGGAGAGGAGGTCCTTCAGCCAGGGGGCAGCCAAGACCCTAGCAGCCAGCCATGGGTAACGTGCACCTAGGTGTTCTGTCTCACCTCCATGCGGACAGATTATGAAGTTTATAGAAGAGTAAGAGCAGCTTCTAGTCTGGTCAGCAGAGGGGACAGTGCGAGTCCCTCTCATAGGCTAATAGTAAGGGTCAGCACTCCTTGGGCTGCACAGAGGGAAGGCTCTGCTCCATGGCCCTGGTCTTCTAGGCACTCAGGCCGCAAAAGAAGCTGTAATCAGCCCTCCTGGAGCCAGTGCCATCTGTCAAGCACAATCCTGAGACCGATCCTAAGAGCTGCCACCCCTGGGGGCTTTATTCTGGCTCTGGGATCAATGCCTCCCATTGGAGCCTCAGGAGGGCAGACCAGACCCTGTGTGTCTGTCCTAGAACCTGCTGGACTCCAAGTCCCTGAAGCTCATCATCAGCATGACTCTGCACGACCGCACCACCAAGTCACTGCTGCACCTGCACAAGAAGAAGAAGCCGCCAAGCATCAGTGCCCAGTTCCAGGTGGGTGGCCTGATATTCAATGTGCCTCAGCCAAAATGAACCTGACATAGGCAGCTGATCATTATCTCAGGCTTCCTGACCCGGCACTGCTTGCCAGTTGGGGTCAGATCATTCATTCTCCCTGATGGGGGCCATCCTGTGCTTTGTGGGATATTGAACAACATCGCTGGCCTCCCCACCCACCAGATGCCAATAGCATCTTCCAGTCACGGCAACCAGAATGTCTCCAGATGTTGCCAAATGCTCCTGGGGAGACCAAATCGCCCCTGGTTAAGAATCACCAAGTTAAAAAAAAAATCACAAGTCAGCATGTGAGTTAATGTAACCACTGAGCTGTGTCTTTAGGTCATGTTTCCCTTTTTTTCCCCTGGCTGCCAGGAAACTTGGGGACACTTTGTTCTTTAGGGGATCCAGCAGCTGCTGACCATCACTGTTAGGTTTTTTTATTCCTTCTCTCTTTTTGTCAGACTCTTCTGTTCCCACTTTTTTTTGCGATTACCTTATGTAGGAGCTCCCGCAGATCCTTTTGGGGAACAGCAGAGCAGAGACCAAAATCACGGCACCCGTGACACATGTTTTAAATCCCCCGGAGTTTAGCTGGTCCCACCAACCCCCATCTCCCACCTGAAGCAAAGATTAGAGCTGGGTGACCCTAAGAAGATGGTGGCTCTTAGCCACAGGGACCCCACAGCTCCCCTCAGGGGCTCTCTAGGATAGCACAGCCTCCAAGTCAGAACGTCCAGCTGCAACCTCCCATGTCCCATGTTAGCACAAAACCCTCTCCCATTTCCCCATGATGCAGGTAGGCGACCTGACCCCCTCTCACCAAAAGGGTGCTGTGACGGGGAGGGGGTCCCAGCTGAACACCTTCCTTTTCTTTACCCAGACATCGCTTAACAAGCTCCTCGAGGCGCTGGGGAACGCAGAGCCCTTCTTTATCCGCTGCATCCGTTCCAACGCCGAGAAGGTGAGGGGCTCCCACATCTCAGGGAGGTGAAGGCCGAGGTCTGGTGGCCGCAGGGTTGATGGGAGGCAAGGCCTCGAGGAACCAAGGGTTCACAAACAGCATGACATGGCTGACGGGGAAGGGGGTTCAGGGGGGCAGCAGGAGGCAGCAAGGGCAGCCACAAGCAGGGACGTCATCTGGAACATGGAAGGGTACCAGAGAAGGTTTGCTTGAGGAGGGACAGGTCAGAGGTACTCTTCAGATAATCCCAAAAGCAGCCAGTGCAGAATGTACCAGAAGGGAGGGGCAGAGGTTGCACAGCAGGAGCACAGAGCTTGCTGCTCATCCGGAAGTTTCTGGAAAGGCGGAGCACCAGTAGCCCTGACAGCAGCTTCAGCCCTAGCTGCCAGGCTTCCCGTGCCCCAGGGTTCCACTGGGACTTGACTGGGGACCGCATAGGATCTGGACTCCCTCTCCGGTGCAAGTGACGCCTGAGCAGGAGACCCTGGTGGTTCTGTTTTCCCATACCCTTTATCTCTGTTCTTCCTGTTTTCTGCCTCCCCCCTAATCCTGGGACACTCTGGTCATGTCCAGAGCCCAGCTTCTCCCTGCCAGGTGCCATGACTTCCATCCTCTCAGCAAGGACCCCAGGTCCTCCCCTCTCCCCTCTCCCTTCCCGACTTCCAGTTCTCCCAGTGGTGTCTCAGAGAAGGTCTATGCCCTGCATTCGTCCAGTAGCGGAATTGGGCCCCTCTTCTTCTATGAGGGATGCTGGCTTCAACTTGGGGCAACCCAGGAAACGCTTCAGCAACACCTGTTCTGGGCAGGAGCTGTACCAGCAGGTGGTTCTTTGCCGTAGGGGACCGTCCTGTGCGTTGTCGGGTGTTGAGCAGCATCCCTGGCCTCAGAGCCCACCAGATGCCAGAAGCGCCCCCACCCAGTCGTGATAACCCCCCATGCCATTCTCTCCTCTCCATCCACTTAAAATAACCAGCATGGATGCAAGACCCCTGAGCTTCGGGTTTGGGCTTGAAGCCCCCTGAGCCAGCATCATTCCCAGCCCCTGCTCCTCCCTCGCTCCAGCAGCAGGCATCTCCCTACATCCCATCAGCCCCATCAGCCTTCCCCTCCTTCTCAGGCCTTTACCCAGCTTTCCCCACCTTCCTCAGCCCTTAGCCCTCAGCTCAGGGTCCCCTCTCCTGTGACACCTCCCACAGGGGCCCTGGCAGCATCCACCCGCTTCACGCATGCGTCTGGCTCCTGCCTGCCCCCAGACCATGTTCTCTCCTTCGAATCCTTAGTACTTACCCCAGTATCTGGCACAGAGTATGAGTTCAGCACAGGTCTGGAGCAGGGCCTTAGGAAAGAACTCTGCAGCACATTATCTTGAATTCAGGTAGGGAGTGGCATCTGTCTCCTGGACACCAGGGATTAGAGCAGATCAGGTTTTGTAGAAAGACGAATGCCCTGAGCACCGCTGCTGAGGCCTTGTCTCTTTATTCCAAAAAGAATTTTTGAAGCAAGGTAAGGCAGATGCTCAGGTTCACACGGCCTCCGTGCCAGGCACAGTCCCAGACCAGCCTGGAGGCGCGTATGTGTCCAGACTGTGTCCATACCTGGAATCCTGCAGGACTTTGTTCCATAGCTCCCCATCCCCAGCCACCCACAGGCTTGGGCGTCCGGCCACGGGCACCCTGACCGCTCACATCCCATTTCAGAAAGAGCTATGCTTCGATGAGGAGCTGGTGCTGCAGCAGCTGCGCTACACAGGCATGCTGGAGACCGTGAGGATCCGGAGGTCAGGTTACAGCGCCAAGTACACGTTCCAGGTACGCTGAACACATGTGGCTGCCTGTGACATGAGGGCCAGCCACCTCCCTCTTCCAGAAAGAGCATAGCTCTGGAACATGAACCTTCCAGAAGGTTACTTTCCACCAAGGCTTCTTCACCCGGCACCACTGGCATTTGTACCAGATCTGTCTCTGTCATAAAGGGGGCAAGTTTCCTCAGAAGAGGTGGCTGGACCCAAGCCAAGCCTTAAAGGATACAGAGGTGTGAAACCAACCGGGAAGAGGGATTTGCACCAGCAGATCCCTGCGCAGCTCTGCCCCTTACTGAGCACCTTCTCTGATAGACACTTTTATACCCATCTCTTTCATCCTGCCAACCAGCAGCCAGGAGGTCCTGGTTCCTATTTTCCTGATACGGAAACTGAGGCCCAGGGAGGTGATGACCTCAGCAATGGCTCTTGGGCATTCTCAAGACATAAGGGATTATTAAACTTCAAATTGTTTTTGTTGTTTTTTAAGATTTTATTGGGGATTTGGGGGAGGGGAACAGTGCTGGGGAATCAGGGGAAGGGGAACAGACAAGTTGCTGTTGTTTTGTTCTTCAGTCTTAGTTGTGGAGGATGTCACTTCACTGGCCCAAGCTGGCACCATCATTGCGCTCTTCCCGGGCGAAGCAGAACAATTGCTGGCCTCTGAACGGCCGCTCCCAGTGGCTGCTGGCCGCTCACGCTGGCTGCCAGCTACAAACGGTAGCTTATGGCAGCCCACTGCATCAGGGGACTTTAGCCTACGCAGTCACCAGCGACCCATGGCAGCCCAGCCCCAGGTCGAGCTGCCGTTTACCATCTTAGCTGCAGAAGGCAGTGTCACTGGCCCTCATGTGGGATCCAAACCGGGGCCCTCTGGCATCCCAAGCCAATTCTTAACCAACACGCCACTCAGCCGGCCCTCAACTTCAAATTGTTGAAGACCAAATTGCTAGAGCAATTTCTCAGTCATGGTACCATTGGCACGTGGGGCTGAGTGATTCCCTGGCAGGGCCATCCTGTGCACTGCAGAGTGTTGAGAAGCATCCCTGGCCTCTACCCAATCAATGCCAGTAGCACATGCACCCCCACCCGAGTTGTGACAACTAAGAAGTCTACAGACATCACCAAATGTCCCCAGGGGTCAGCATGTCCCAGGTTGAGAATCCTGGACTTGTACTCCGAGCTATTTGGTGCTTAAGTAAGCACTGGCCTCAAAGCTAAAGGTGGTAACACCTGGTCTCTGTTCAAGCTTATCCTAATGGCTCTGAGGATGTGGCTTCATCACACATGCCTCTTATTCACAGACTGGAAATATCTTTATATAATTAGGAGAGACAAAATTACAGGAAAGGGAGAAAATGCAAATGTGTCTTACTAATGCTTGGCTCTTAAAATTTGACATAATTGTTTACTTAAAAGGCACATACCTCCAGCTATGATCCAGCCCCCTAACAAGCCATAGACTATAATCCCCCAGCAAGGGTATCTTCATCTCCTGGGCACTCCTCAACAATGCCAGCACAAGCAGGCCCTCAGTAGCCACTCATCAACTGACTGAAAAGATCCAGTGCTCTGTACCTGTGACAGTCTTTCTTAAACTTTATACTATTTCAAAAAGTCCAAGATTTTAGCTTCATCAATACTGTTCACATCAAACCAAGTTTCAGCTTCAGAAATGGCTTGATGAGGGAATTACCAAAGGCTTGTGTCCTTGTCGGTAACAGAAACGCTCACTTGGATTCTCTTTCTCGGTCAAAATTACCCAGGACTTCACAGAACAGTTCCAGGTGCTGCTGCCCAAGAACTCCCAGCCCTGCCGGGAGGTCATCTCTACCCTGCTGGAGAAGATGAGCGTAGACAAAAGGAGCTACCAGATCGGAAAGACCAAGGTCAGTGTTCCCACCACTACCCTGCCTTCCATCTCACACAAGGTCCTCCCACAGCTCAAGGCCCTGGATCACACGCTGAAAAATAAAGGGCCCTGCTGAGGAAGTACATTTCTTGGGTCCTGGCGTGTAATTTCTTCCTGAAAGGCAAAGGGTGCACCTATGGGGCTGGGGCTCAGGCATCAGGCCTGTTTCTCATTTTCTCAAACACATGGGCTCGAAGACGATTTTTCAGACTGTGACCCAGGGTGTTCAGGGGCCAGACAGTCACCTTTGTAGTGCCTGGCAGGTTTCCTTCACTCATCTTCCCTCCAGAAACCATCTCCCACCTCTGAGTGTGTGTTGCTTGCTTCTTGTCCAACAAGAGCCGAAGTCAGATCCCTGTTGTGGCTTCACCTGATGTGAAAGAAGCCTGACACAGAAGGCCACATAGTGTATTCTATTTAGTTGAAATATCTAGAATAAGCAGATCCATAGAGACAGAAAGCAGATTAGTGGTTGCCAGGCCTGGGGGAGGAGGAATGGGGAGCAACTGTTCATGGGGACAAGGTCCCCTTTTAGGGTGATGAAACTTTCTGGAACTAGATAGAAGTGGTGGTTGCACACAGCATGGTGAATGTTCTAAATGCCACGGAATTGTTCACTTTCAATGGTTAATTTCATGTTATGTAAATTTCATCTCAATACATTTCAAAAAGTACTCTCCTTAGGTCCGTCAGCACACCAGCTTGGTCTCACTCACTCCCAGGCTGACTGTGGAGACCTGGACCACGGGGCTCTGGGGGCCTCGCTGACCTCACCTGTGCCCGCGCCCACCAGGTTTTCCTGAAGGAGACGGAGCGGCAGGCCCTACAGGAGACGCTGCACCGAGAGGTCGTGCGAAAGATCCTGCTTCTGCAAAGCTGGTTCCGGATGGTCCTGGAACGCCGGCACTTCCTGCAGATGAGGCGGGCAGCTGTCACCATCCAGGTAACGCATGGGCCAATGGCCTGGGGTGTGGGAGTGGCACACACCCGGCCCCTGAACACCCACTTTGCTCGCAGGCCTGCTGGCGGTCCTACCGCGTCAGGCGGGCTCTGGAGAGGACACAGGCGGCTGTGTACCTCCAGGCCACGTGGAGGGGCTACCGGCAGCGAGTGGTGTACCGGCACCAAAGACAGAGCATCATCCACCTGCAAAGCCTCTGCCGGGGGCACCTGCAGCGCAAGAGGTGAGCAGAACAGGGCCCCACCCCTCAGAATGTGTCAGAAGCCAGAAAGTTCACTCACCCAAAAGCTCCCTAAGATACAGGCACAGCTGTCAGGATGTCATTCTGGACACAGGGAAGCTGGCAGGAATCCAGCTGCCTGGGTGCACAGGTCCCAGAAAGATGCGCCCAGGCTGGTGCGCAGTGCTTATGGTGAAGCCCCAAGTTGCCTTCAGCCACACTTGGTCCCCACCAGGGACCTCTACACCTGCCTACCCCCAGCCAGTCAGTGGAGCACGTGGGTCCGGGGGCGCAGCAGTTCAGGCTACCCTGAACCCGCCCACAGTGGGCTCCCCTTCCACCACACTCACACATGGAGCTTAGGCATCCACCGGGCAAGGGGCCCCAAAGGAATTCAGGGGTTTCTTAACAGAGCTTTGCCATAACCTAATGATGGTACCCCTGAACCAGCCAGGCAGACCCAGGGCAGAGGTGGCCATGAGGACAAGGCCACCCTCCTGTTTCCCCTTTCTGGGCTGAGGAGGTTCTGCCTAACTGGAAGCATCTCTGAGGGCCAGGAACGGCACCCAGCCCCTGAGCCCATGAGTAGCACAGGGGTCCCACCAGAGCACAGCTCAGAGGCCTCTGACACCCTGGGTAGATTCTGGGGACCACAGGCACATTTGTTCCTGAATCCGCCCCCTTTACTCTCACACTAGCTTCCGCCAGATGGTGGCAGAGAAGCAGAAGGCGGAAGAGAAAGCGAGGGAAGCCCAGCAAGCCGCGAGGGAAGAAACCACAGCGGGTAGGCTGAGCCCAGAACCGTCGGAGGATAGCAAGCATTCAGCACTGGAGCCCGAGGGGTCGCCAACGCACAGGCCACCAGCAGAAAGCTCCCACCCCAAGGAGGGCCCCAGCCCTGAGAAGGTTCTCCCACCCCAGAAAAACGCCACTGAAATTCACGAGAAAGTGTCCAGCAGCCGGGAGAAGCGTGAGTCTCGGAGACAAAGAGGGCTGGAGCATGTGGAACTCCAGAACAAACACATGCAGTCCTGTAAGGATGAGAACGCCCTCAGAGAGCCTTCTGGAAGGGTTGCCCTGGAGCAGGAGGAGCACCTTCCCGAAGACAAAAAGGAGAGCAGAGAAGATGAAGCCCTCTCAGACACGGGAACAGAGATGGAGAACTCCGCTCCGAAAAAGCAACCTGAGGGGCCACCACAAGCCATGCCAACCTCCCAGGCCCCCAGCGAAACCCCACAGCCACCCCAGGACAAAGTGAAACGGCCCACCAGCCTAGCCCTGGACAGCAGCAGCGTTGGCGCACCGGCCCCTGACACCACCCCCGAGACCCCCCAGGACAAGAGCAAGCTGAGTGATAGCCCACGGGCGCAGGACAAGCCCGAGAGCCCCGGAGGCTCCACCCAGATCCAGCGGTATCGGGACCCGGCCTCTGAACGGCTGGCCAACGCTGTGGAGCTGTGGCGGGGCAAGAACCGGATGGCTACCAGCCCCAGCACCATGCTGAGCCAGTCCCTGGACCTTAGCGAGCGGCACCGAGTCGTGGGGGCCACACTCACACCCACAGAGTAAGCCCCACACTGTCCGTTGTCCAAGCACTGTGGGTGGGCAAGGCAGGGTACGTGTAGTCAAAGGCCTGGCAGTAGGACTAGCCTCACACAACAGCACTTGGGGTCACCTTGTTCTCTGAGCAGGGTCATCCCATGTTCTGCGGGGTACAAGTGTCCCCAAAACACATGAGCAGCTTTGTGCCCAAGAGCTCTGTGGAGCCCTGAGGAAGGAGGGAGAGGGGTCCAGTGTGGATGAGGCATCTGCCTGGGGCCACCCTGCTGGAACCTGACCGGGACCCTCAACCCTGGGGTCCCCCACTGAAGCGAGTTGACTTCACTCAGAAAGCCCTTGGCCTGGTAGAAGGAGGCCCCTCTATTTGAGGGCCCCACACCCTATCCCACCTGGGCCTCAGTTTACTCATTAGTGAGTGGGGGTGACCACACTCGCTCAGGAGCCAGCTCTCAACATGCACTGCCGGACCCTTACTTAGCTAAATATCAGTGATTCTAGTACTAGCCCCTTGTCCCAGAGGCCCACTTAGCCGAAGGAAGCAAGAGTGGAGGCGGGCACGGGCTTCTGCACATGGGGCTGCTTTCTGGGCGGAGCCATTCTGTGCACGTGGGGTGCAGAGCAGCATCCCCCGTCTCCACCCACCAGATGCCAGTAGACTTACCCTCTAGTTATAACAACCAAAAACATTTCTGAACTCTTTCTTGATGAAAGCCACATTTCTGTGATCTCGCAGGGAGAGGCGCATTTCGTTATCTACCAGCGACGTCTCCAAGCTTCTCCCAGCCCCGGCCCAGACCAAGACTCAGGTAAAGCTTCAAGCTTCAGCTCTCAACCCTCAGGATTCTGGCTCGCTTCTGCCCAAAGGGCAGCTTACAAGAGAAGGGGAGTCGGTGGACAGAGCACATGGTGACTTAGGGACCCCTTGCTTTCCTCCAGCGAAGCCACCTGCCTTTGCTTACCCACCCCCATTCTATTGTAGCCTCCTTCAGAAAGTGTGGACGGTGAGCCCAGCACAAAGAAGCCAGCTATCCAGAAGAAGAAATCGGGCGATGCGTCTGCCGCCGGCACAGATGCAGGGCTGTCACCAGGCCCCCAGGCCGACTCTAAGTGAGTGTGGGTGGGATTCAGGGTGGGAGGGTGGGCTCAGGCCACCAGAGGATGGCCAGGGCCCCTGCCAAGTCCTCTAGTCTCTGAGTAGTCTGGTTTCCAAAACCGATGGCATTTATGAAGCTGAGTTAAGCAGGCGTTTCCTCAATAGCAGTTCCATGACAGGAGACCCACATGGAGCCCAGATCCTGGCCACTTCAGGGTGAAATGATCCCACTGAAGCTTAGAGCCAATCTGGGTCACGTCCTCTGGGTCCAGACAAAGGGGTTTTTATGGAATCAGAGCCAGCTCCCATCCCTACCTCCAGGAATCCCTCCTGGGTTCTCGGTTAGAAAATCTAGGCCGAGGCTCTGTCTTCAGAAGCTCCTGCCCAAGTGCTACGGATGGCTCTATCCCAGAGCAGAGATGGTGGATCAGGGGAGCCTTGATCCTAAGAGACTGAGGAAGGTGAAGAATGAGCTGTAGTGGGAGTCAGAGAGCCCCCATACTGTGAGATGACCTCACCACCAAAGCAATGAACCACCAACAGGGTGGCTTCAAACAACAAACTTATTCTCTCACAATCCTGGAGGCCAAAAATCCGAAACCCGGGTGTCACAGGGCCACACTTCCACCAGAGGCTCTAGGCAAGCATTCTTCCTGCCTCTCCAAAGTGCTGGGGGCTCCAGGTGCCCTTGGCTGTGAACACAGTTCATTCTTTGCCTCCATTGTCACATGACCTTTCTCCTATTTCTTCTCTTTTTCTGTCTCTTATAAGGACACTTGTCATTGGATTTAGGGCCCATCTGGGTAATCTAGAGATGTTTCACTTAGTGTCTTAGTCCATTCAGGCTGCTATAACAGAAACCACAGACTGAGTGGCTTAAACAACTGGCATTGAATTCTCACTGTTCTGAAGGCTGGAAGCCAGAGATCAAGGGTGCCAAGCAGACTTGGTGTCCAGCGAGAATGCACTTCCTGGTTCATAGACGTCTTCTGGCAGAAGAAGCCAGGGTGTGCTCCCTGGGGTCTCTTATAAGGGCACTGATCCCATTCAGGAGGGCTCTACCCCCACAATCTAATCACCTCCCAAAGGCCCCACCACCTAATACCATCACATGGGTTAGGTTTCGTTCAGCATATGAATTTGGGGAGACACACACATTGGTCACATCTGCAAAGACCCTGTTCCCAAATAAGTTCATTTTCATAGGCACTGAGGGTTAGCATATAGACACAGCTTTTGGGGGGCCACCATTCACCCCACCACACATCTAGTAGCCACAGTGTATGATTCTGTTTATTCTTTTTTTTTTTTCCTAACCTTGTGTCATAAAAACACACGAAGGGCACGGGGTGGTTTTATTTATTTTTTTATATGAAAATGGGATCAGCATCTGCTTAGCACCTTACTTGTTCACCTGACTCCTCCGTTCACACAAATCGACCGTATTTTTAGTAGCATCCTATTTCATCAATAACGAAGAAAAGGGTTATTTCTCTCTTTATGGTAAGATGACCTTTTCTTTGGCCTCACGTCTGTTTTCATTTCTTGAGACTTAAACGAAATCCCTTACTTTCTCCTTCAGGTCCACGTTTAAGAGACTTTTCCTACATAAGAACAAGGATAAAAAGTACAGCCTGGAGGGCGTGGAGGAGACAGAGAATGCAGTCTCTGGGAATGTCGTGCTGGAAGCCGCCATCATGAAGAAGAATCTAGAAGGTTGGTCACCCTCAGCCTCAGGAATGGATAGCAGAGCCGCTGGGGTCCCTGGGGCTTTGGGCACACTGCTTCTCAGGGCTGGTTCCAACCCCTTGGAGGCGTTTCCTAGCTGTGAGCCCCAGTGTGCGGCGTATGGGGTCCTGGCTGTCTGACCGTACCCCAAGAGGCTGTTCAGTGTCCTCCCCCAGAACCTGCCCTTGCCAGCCAGCCACTCTTCCCCTCCAGCCCCCTCAGGCCACCAGCACCGCCATACTGCGGGTGAGAAGCACGCCAAGGAGCCGGGAGGCAAAGGGAAGAAAAACCGAAACCTCAAGATTGGCAGAATCACGGTGTCAGAGAAGTGGCGGGAGTCTGTGTTCCGCAAGATCACCAACGCCAATGAGCTCAAGTACCTGGATGAGTTCCTACTCAACAAGGTGGGCCAGCAGGGGTTCAGGGGGTGGGGGGAAGGGTTGCAAGTCTTCCGGCCTGGGCCTTCCTAGAAGGGTTGGCACCACCCAACTGAGTTTTCTGAGCCACCACCTCAGAGCTGTTAGCGGATTGGGAACAGAAAGTTCCAACACAGAGAAAACTCCAGAAACATGACGCTTGTTCCTAAGTTTGACCTCAGCTCTTTTTCTGTAAAACCTGGCTTAGGCTCACATAACACCATATGTAACCTACACTCATCTCAGTCAGCACAGATACAGCCATCTTTCAGTATCCAAAGGGGATTGGTTCCAGGACCCCTGCGGATACCAAAATAGAAGTCCCTTACATTTGCACATAGGCTACAGCAGGGTGTTGTCTACATGTGACCCCTGTGGTGATGTATAGTGCTCAGCCTGCAGCAAATACAAGTTTTGGCTTTTGGGACTTTCTGGGATTTCCTATTTCTTTTTTTTTTTTTTTTCAAATATTTTCCATCTGCTTTTAGAAGACACTTGTCTGTTGTCTCACAGTGACCATTGGGGGTGGTTGCCTCACTTTCTCACACACTCGAGGAAACAGAAATACCAAGATTTAAAATAACCTTCCAGGCAGGGCCCTGGACACAGTTGCGTCCCACCAGGCTGCCTCTAGGTCCAGCAGCCTCACTGTGACTCAGCCGTAGCCCAGCCATGCCCATGAACTTCTTATTTAAAATAAGCTTTTATAAAACGCATTGGGTCTTGTAGCCGATACTAATTGAGCACTTACTGTGTATAGGAGAGGTAAATAAGCCATGGCCGGTGCTCCTGGTGTTTACGGCCCCAGCCACGGACAATCCCACAGCAGGATTTGGGAGTTTCTCAGGGGCAGCAGGGGACCCTGCATATCCACCTGCAAAGGGTGGACATGTCGTGAAATGACCAGGCAGTTCAAGGCAGCCCCCAGGGGTTATCCAGGGGTTGAGCACCTGTGTGGCGATTCTGCCTCCAGGGGACACTTGGCAACATCTGTAGACATTTTTGGTGGTCATGAGTGAGAGGTGCTATTGGCATCTGGTGGGTGGAGGCCAAGGGTGCTGCTCCACACACCACAGTGAGTGATCTGGCCCCAAATGTCAATAGTTTGAACCTGGACTGAAGGGATGAGAGAGACCAGGGTTGAGTGGAGGGCCTAGATTTTATCCTGCAATCCCAGGGGAGCCAGGGAAGGGCTTGGGACAGGGCAGAGTGGTGGCCACTCAGATGCCTGGCCTGAGTCAACATGGGGTCAGTGAACCTCTCCCTCCATCTCTCTCCAGATAAATGACCTGCGTTCCCAGAAGACCCCCATCGAGAGCTTGTTCATCGAGGCCACCGAGAAGTTTAGGAGCAACCTCAAGACCATGTACTCTGTCCCCGTACGTGTAGCCCCCAGCCCCGGGGGTCCTGGCAATCCCTAAGCCCTCCCCCATCTATCTGTCCAGGGTGGTCACGCCTTCCGTCCCCACAGAACGGGAAGATCCACGTTGGCTACAAGGACCTGATGGAGAACTACCAGATTGTCGTGAGCAACCTGGCAGCCGAGCGCGGTGAGAAGGACACCAACCTGGTCCTCAACCTTTTCCAGTCATTGCTGGACGAGTTCACCCGCGGGCATACCAAGAACGACTTCGAGCTGCCCAAGGTGGGTGGGGGCAGGGGGCTGGCACAGTGTGGGGGGCCAACTAGAGGCGGGGGTTACCCCATAGACCCACACAACCTGCCTTTGTACTCCCTCACAGCAGAGCAAAGCTCAAAAAAAGAAGCGGAAGCAGGAACGCGCTGTGAGTATGAGTGTGCATGTGTGAGTGTGAGCAGGTGAGCATGTGTTTTTTTCGCCCAGCCCTGAGGAACCCTAGTCATGAGTGAGCGGCCTCTGGCCCTGAGATGCCTCAGGTGGCATCCATGCTGGGCAGCCCAACGGGGGGAGAAGTGGGGTCTGCCCTCGCTGCTCAGCACCCTCCTCCTCGGCCCCCAGGTTCAGCAGCACAACGGGCACGTCTTCGCCAGCTACCAAGTGAACATCCCTCAGTCGTGTGAACAGTGCCTCTCCTACATCTGGCTCATGGATAAGGCCCTTCTCTGCAGCGGTGAGTGCTTCAGCACCCCGGCCTCCCCCACTGCACCCCCTGAACCTCCACTGTACTCCCTGACCCTGCCACCGTGTTCCCAACCCCTTGCTGTGCACCAGGACCTTCACCCCAGCATAGGGCAGATCTTTCCAGAACACTGCCCCGGCCACATCCCTACCCACTCAAATCCCCACCTGGGCAGGTCACCCTATGTCCCACCTTGGGCCTTTGTACATGTTCTCACTGCCTGAGCTGCAGGCTCCTCCCCCATGTGCCAGGAGAGGCCAGTCAGTCCCCACCAGGGGACCCCGAGAGATGGGCATAGCCCAGAAGAGCCCAGCTGGCCCTCAGCCAGGCAGCCAGAAGGTAACCAAGCCAAGACTGGAGACCAGTCGACCGTCAGAGGCCTGGTGAGGTCTAGCGGACCTCTAGCACTTACGTTTTCCCACCAGAACCAGCCAGGCTCGTCTGTCTTTTCAACCCAGGGTCTCCTCCTCTCCCCTTGGGTCCTGTGTGAGGAGCAGCCCTCCATCCCTCATCAGTCATAAATACCCAGGCATTTGTCACTGTTCCAAGATAAGGACATACCCAGACACCACCTCCTGTTTCTCTTCCCTCCATGCATGACGTCCCCTAGTCTGGGATTTGGTGTGGTTGGGAGAAACAAAAGCAACATCACTCATACCATTGTTACAGGCCAAGTCCCCAGGGCCTCCTGGCAGGACTAAGGTGCAGGCCCCCTAAACTCCTGTTTCTATCGCACTGGCCAGGCTGGCTCTGAGGCCACCAACGGTCACCAGCTATGAACACCTGCCTACATGGCTCCCTTGCATGGGAATCAGGGCAGAGATGTGTGTGATTCAAGTTTAGAATCCGGTCGGCAGGCCCCTGGCCATTGGGACAGGCAGCCCCGGGAGCCTGAGGCCCCTGAGGGTCTGCTTGTGACCACCCTCTCCCCCCGCCATGACCTCCTAGTGTGCAAGATGACCTGCCACAAGAAGTGCGTGCACAAGATTCAGACCTACTGCTCCTACCCGTGTGGGAGGAAGGTGAGCCCGCTGAGACCAGGAACTTTTCAGAACAACAGTAGGTTCAGGACCGGGTGCCTGTGGAAGGCAGTCCTGAGAGGTGTGGAGGAGAGGGTGTGCCTGGTGCAAGGCCGATGGAGGGCATCAGACAGAAGCAGGGAGCTGGCACGTGGGGCAGGCCCTGAAGCCAAGCACAGCCGGTTCTGCCCGAGCGCCTTGAGACTCCGAGGCAGGGGCTGGGCTCGTGTGTGCATCTCAAAACCTGGCCCTGCTCCTCCCTACTGTACCCAGAAGGGAGGCGAGGTCCCAAGTGCTGGAGTGGCAGCAGGAGCCAGGACTGACGGAGTCCCTGCCCAGCGACTATCGAGCTGACCTCTGCAGCCTGGCGCATTGGCAACCTGCAAGGGGGAAATGAGGGGCAGGGGGTTGGAGCCCACAGAGAAGGCCTGAAGGGCAGCTGGGGAAGACAGATGACCCAGGCCTCACCCCTGCCTCCGGCATTGCAGAACGAGCCAGGAGCCGAGCCGGGCCACTTTGGTGTTTGCGTGGACAGCCTGACCAGCGATAAGGCCTCGGTGCCTATCGTGCTAGAGAAGCTTCTGGAACACGTGGAGATGCACGGCCTGTACACCGAGGGCCTCTACCGCAAATCAGGCGCTGCCAACCGCACGAGGGAGCTCCGGCAGGCGCTGCAGTCAGGTGGGTGCTATGGCAGGTGGGGCCTATGAATAGGTAGGTATTCGGGCCGGCGAGCATCATGAGGGGCACAGCCCTCCTGCCTGCACTGCGCTCACCAGCCCTGCCCATTTTCTCCAAAGACCCTGCGGCAGTCAAGCTGGAGAACTTCCCCATACATGCCATCACAGGGGTGCTCAAGCAGTGGCTGCGGGAACTGCCTGAGCCCCTCATGACCTTCGCCCAGTACAGCGACTTCCTCCGTGCTGTCGGTGAGTCCCATGATGGCAGCAAGGGTGAGCAGGTGGTCAAGGTTGGGGTCAGAGCTACGAGCACACTGTAGCCAGCCAGGGACACAGGACCACCCAGTCAGAACTGAGAAACCAAGACCTGGGGTAGGCTGGGACCCCTCTGTGGCCCTGCATTCTTGCCACACACACCTAGCCCAGGCCCAACACAGTGGGAGGCCCCACCGTCCCTGTGGTTGTCTCAGTGGGGCCCACAGTGAGCTGACACCTGGGCCTTCCTAGAGCTGCCAGAGAAGCAGGAGCAATTGGCCGCCATCTACGCCGTCCTGGAGCACCTTCCAGAAGCCAATCACAACTCCTTGGAGCGGCTCATCTTCCACCTGGTCAAGCAAGTGCCCGCTGCCACTCTTGGTGGGGTGGGGGTCCCCGTCAGGAGCCCCGCTGCCTGTTCCCAGGCGGGTATTCTCTGCTGATTCTGCACCAGGATTTGGGCCCATGTTGGGGATCTGGGAAGGGGCCCCCAGTCGTCTCCTAACTGCTGCTCGCTACGCAGGGTGGCCCTGCTCGAGGACGTGAATCGCATGTCACCCAGCGCACTGGCCATCATCTTTGCGCCTTGCCTCCTACGCTGCCCTGACAACTCAGACCCACTGACCAGCATGAAGGATGTCCTCAAGATTACCACGTGAGTGCCAGGCCACCTCGCCCCCACACTGTTCTGGACGGACTTGCCAGGAACCCTCTGAATTCTTTTTTTTTTTTTTTTTAAGATTTTTTTGGGGAATTGGGGGGGGGGAACAGCATTTGGGAATCGGGGAAGGGGAACAGACAAGTTGCTGTCTTTTTGTTCTTCAGTCTAGTTGTGGAGGACGCGGCTTCACTGGGCCACATTGGTATTATCATTGCACTCTTCCCGGGTGAGGCAGATCGGTCGCTGGCCACTAGACAGCCGCTCACAGCGGCTCTTGGCAGCTCACACCGGCTGCTGGCCGCTCACGATGGCTGCCGACCACTCACGGTAGCTTACGGCAGCCCACTGCAGCAGGGGCTGCAGTCTACACTGTCGCCGGCTACTCATGGCAGCCTAGCTCCAGGTTGAGCTGTTGTTCACCATCTTAGCTGTAGAGGGCGCAGCGTCACTGGCCCTAATGTGGGATCTGAACCCCAGGCCCTGCTGCTCAGAGCTGGCGTCCCAAACCAGCTCTTAACCAACGCGCCACTCAGCCGGCCCACCCCTCTGAATTTTTATGAGACTGAAGAACCACTAAGCAGGAAATGTCACAGGGCAAGGGGCAGATGTGACGCCAATGTTCCCAGCCTCTGGCAGCAATGAGAGCTAGCAGCAAACAGAAGCACTGGTCTTGAGGTTTCTTCTTTCCATCTGCAAAAGTTCTCCAAAAGTTCCTCAAGAGATCTCAAAAACCTGTCAGACATCAGTCACTAAGAGGATGTTGTTTAGGCTGCTTGTGAAAACAAGAACCTGTCACTGTAGGTGGTTTCACGAGGCCAACACATCAAGGAAGCCTAACAGTACAGCTCCCAGGCCATGCTCATCATAATTACTGAACAATGACAGGCAGCAAGGAGAGGAGCCTGGTGTGGCCTGCCAGATTTCCTTCCAGCCTCTTCCAGCAGTCTTTGTTCCTTTTCTTCTTATGTGCTTGTGGTGATGGGAAACTTGAGTTGTGACTGCTTCTCCATCGAGGCTGAGTCCCTATGTACTAACCACGGCAGACCGAGTCCCCACACCCCGTACGGACCACTCCGGGTTGAGTCACCCTGATACTGACTACTCTGGGCTGAGTCCCCCCAGTACTGACCACTCTGGGCTGAGTCCCCCCAGTACTGACGACTCTGGGCTGAGTACCCCCCCAGTACTGACGACTCTGGGCTGAGTACCCCACAGTACTGACCACTCTGAGCTGAGTCCACAGTACTGAGCTCTCTGAGCTGAGTCCCTCAGTCAAGACCCCCCCCAGGCTGAGTTCTCCCCCAATACTGACCACTCAGGCTGGCTCTGACCACTGAGCAGATGAGCTGCTGGTCAAAGCACATGTTCTGGAGCCCTTGGGTCCAGCTGCCTGCAGCCCTTAGGACAAATCACCCAGTCTCCTGCGCCTCATACTTCTCTGTGAGATGGGGTAATCTCCACCCTGCAGGGTGACTGAGGGGTCAGTTCACTCCAACCCTCTGCACATACTTGATCCTTCAAACAAGGAGGCTGACTGAGGTGGGACTCAGGCTCAGAGAGGTGGAGTGAGTCATTTGAGGTTCCACAGCAAGTGAGCTGGGGCGACGATGGGAGCCATAGCTGTGTCGCTAGCCCTGCCTGGTCTCCGGGTGGATCTCTGCTTTGGCCACCGTGCCCCAGTCTCCAGCCACCACCTCCCTGGACACCAGGCCCCCACACTGGCTATCCCTGGGGACAGTAACTAAGTCACCCTCTCGGTGGGCCTTCTCACAGGTGCGTGGAGATGCTGATCCAGGAACAGATGAGGAAGTACAAAGTGAAGATGGAGGAGATCAGCCAGCTGGAGGCTGCGGAGAGCATCGCCTTCCGCAGGCTCTCCCTCCTGCGACAAAACACTGTGAGTACCTGTTGTGGGGTGGAGCCTCGGTGGAGGGGCGTGGCGGGAGTGCGGTCTGGGGGCGTGGCCCTGGGGGCGGACCTTAGGTGTCAGGGGCGGGGTCTCACTTTCTTGACCACACACACCCCTGGCCACAGGCAGCCTGGCCAGGAGGCTGTGGCAGGGAGGTTAGGGGTGGATTCCCCGCCTCAGCCAAACGACTACTGTCCTCTGTTTCATGCCAACTGCCCCTCTCAGGGAAGGTGGGGGGTACCTGTCACCCACTTGGTAGTTCTGGTCATCTTACAACCCCTGCCCTTGCTGACCTGGGCCCCACCCATGGAAGACTGATCCCACAGAAGTAGCCTCAGAGTGTGGGGGGTAAGAGGACGGTTCCTGGGCTCCCATGGGAAGACCCTGTCCTTGTCCCTGCAGTCAGATGTGGCTCAGTGCCTGTGACACGACCTGTGTCTTGGTCATAGCCCCATGTGGTCATCCTCTGTTCATCTCTCTCCCAGCCATGGCCTCTCAAACTGGGGTTTTCGTCTCCCTATGAGGGGGTCCTGGTATGTACTCAATTAGTTGGCCCACCCTGCATGTTTTTGGTGCAGTGCATGCTGGGATTCCCCTCAGCCCCTGGGATCCTCATAGAATAGGCTCAGCATGTCCTAAACTTCCGGAAGTGCATGCTGAGGGAGACCCATTGCCTGCTGCCCACTTCTGCTGAAGACAACTAACCAGCTGTGCACCGGCCACTTGATCCCCACATGGTCCCTGGTGAAACCTCACTAAACCTGCCATCCACGGCAGAACTAACCTCCCCCGGAGCTGTGCACACCACCCTCTCCCCACCCACAAGTACTGACCTCACCTGCCCAGAGGGGCCGGCCAGACCTGTCGCTTCTCTGTTGCAGAACAAGAGCCCCACAGCCCGGGGAAGCAGCGGCGGCCCAGAGGAGCTGGGAGTGGTGCCAGAGGAGGAAGCAGCCGGTGATGATGAGGACCGGGAGAAGGAGATACTCATTGAGCGGATACAGTCCATCAAGGAGGAAAAGCAAGTGTCCCTCTGTCCCCTTCCCACCCTTGTCTGCACCATCAAGCCCCCATCCACTGGCCCCTCCACTATGCATAGGGGACCTGGACACTAGGGGGGCTGACAGGCCAAGCTCAGTCCCATCGTCCAGGACCCACCTCATGGAGTGCCGCTGTCCTAAAACACAGCTTAGGCCTCTGTTAAAACCCTGTGCTTGACCACAGGGAAACATGGTGGCCCACAGGGAAAGAAAGGGCAACAGGCGATGTTCAGATTTCGTCTTAAAGGTGGCCTCAGCTAGGGTAACCGAATAATTTGTTGTCCAGTCGAGATGTGTGAGAGGGAGTGCTATTAGAAAATGATTCCAGGAGAAGAGGCATGACCCAGGGCACCTGGCCCCACTAGTCATACAGAGTAGGGTGCTCCAGGCAGAGGGCACGATACATGCAAAGGTCCTGAGGCAGGAGCTCCTCATTTGCTCAGTATTGAGCCAGATGCCTGGCTTCCCTCAGCAGCCTGACACCTTCCTCCCATGAGCTTTCCAGGGCCAGGGGCATTTTGAGCCAGGTATGCTTTGGAGGTAGGAGGTTCTGGGGGCAGGGCATCCCATCCAGTATCAGGATGGCCTGCTCTGTTCCCTGTCATCCTGGCACTTTCCATGGGGTGGTCTTTCACCATGGGGACAGCCTTGGACATGTGACCCCCATCACCCCAGGGAGGACATCACCTACCGGCTGCCAGAGCTGGACCCTCGGGGCTCGGACGAGGAGAACGTAGACTCGGAAACATCAGCCAGCACCGAGAGCCTGTTGGAAGAGCGAGCCGGGCGGGGGACCTTGGAAGGTCAGTATTAAGGTAGTGTCTGCTTTTTTCCTTCCCGTGTCCATCCCTGGCAGGCCCCAGGGCGAGGGTCCATCTGCCGGTCCTGAAGCTGCAGTAACCCTGCTGTCTATCTCTCAAAAGGGCCCCCTGCGCCTGCTCTCCCCAGCCCCAGCACGCCTGCCCCAAGTCCCCTCCCCGAGGTGGCTGCCCCTCCAAGACGAAGGCCGTCGTCCTTCGTGACGGTCAGAGTGAAGACCCCCCGGCGGACCCCCATCATGCCCACAGCCAACATCAAGCTCCCACCCGGCCTGCCCTCCTACCTCCCTGGCCGGGCACCAGGTGCCCAGGAGGCTGCTGCCTTAGTGAGGCGCCGGGAGCCACCTGCCCGCCGCCCAGACCAGGTACACTCTATGTATATCACGCCGGGTGCTCACCTGCCTGCACAGGGCACTGAGGAGCCCCTGGATGAGGACAACCAGCTGCCTGGGGCCAAGCGGAGGTACTCAGACCCCCCAACCTACTGCCTGCCCCCCACCTCGGGCCAGGCCAACGGCTGAGGGCCTGCAGTGCCAGAATCCGCACATCTAAGGATGGCCCTGTGCCAAAGCTCCAGAGCCAGCATTCAGCTCTCTCAGAGGATCCGGAATGAAAAGCTCCAAGAGCGATATGAGGTGGGCACCGGCTCCAAGTGCAGAGTCCAGGCAGCAAGGGGCCAGCCGGGGCTGAGCCCCAACATCACACAGATGCACTGCCCAGAGCCCTGAATCCTGGCAGGCAGCCTGGCCCATCCCACCTGCCCCTTTTGTACGTTGTACGGTAACTGTTACTTTGTTCCTGGTTTACATAACTTTTAAACTGTAACAGCCTTAACAGAAGACCAAATTGTTTTTTTATATGTGTATGTACAAACTTTTATATTAACGCCCTTCCTCGCCCTTAAACCTGGACACAAGACTAAAGAGCAAAGCCCGTACAGCCACCTCACCTCAGAGGCTCAGGCCCGCGCTGATGGCTCAGGGGGCATCCACGGACCAGGACCCTGCACCAGGGTTTGGACACTTGGGGCACCTGACTGTTGAGTCTCTCTCAGGCTCATCCTATGGCCCGGCCAGCAGCCACCTGGCCCCTGTGCATTCAGAGGAGCAGTAGAGTCTTCCATGGGGATCCAAGCTATTGGCTGGAGCCAGGACATAAGGTGGGGAATGGCCTCTACCCAGGGCACCACAGACTTCACATCCAAGGAGACTCGAATGTGGCCATCACCCCTTCTGTCCACCGTTTCCTGAATAGAGGAAGCCATCCTTGGCACTGCCCACACCGTATCCAGAATAGGAGCCTTTGACTCAGGACCACTCACAGGCTAGGAGAGCAAGGCCTGTGTTTGCATGTACCTACAGGCCAATAGTGACAGCCTGGGGATCTCTGGAGTGGGGCTTCCCTCTCTCAGGCTCCACTCATCCCCAGACACCTGGAAAGATGGCCCCGGGTCTGGAAAGAGGTGCCCCACAAACCATGTGAAATAAAAAGTGCCTGAAAAGTGTTTGCATGTGATTCCTGCTCAGACCTGCTTGGGGTTGGAGCATGGGCCAGCAGGTGGGGGATCCACCCTGCAGCTTCAGGGTTGTGGCCTTGTCTGAGAGGACCTGCCTTGATCCTCCAGCACTCTGCTGCTGTTAGAATGTCTCACTTACTCCTCACCTGAGGGAGGTGGGCCTGTTGGAGGTGTGTGCATATTGATCCAGAAACCAGGGGGAGCAGGGAGTTACCAGAGCAACATTGAGAAAAGCCTGCTGTGCTAGGAGCTGCCCTGTTGCCCTGTTTCAGCACCCAGCCTCCCCTAGCCCGGGCCATCTGCCTTGGGGTGGGGGTGGAAGGCAATTCTTGGTTGATCCCACGGAGCCAGGAGCAACCTCCCCACAGACAGGCTCCCAGGCTGCAAACATGGGCAGTTGTGGGAACTGGCTGGCAGATGGGGTCCCTGAGGGTGGGCAACCAGTGGGAAATGCCTAGCAGGTGGGGGGCAGTGATGAACGGGAGCCCAGACTACACATGCGGGAGAGCTGGGGGGCTTTCCAAGGTCACACCACTGGGATGGGATATGGGTGGGTTTCAAAACCTGCCCAGGCTGCCTCTAGAGCCTCCCTTCATCCTGGATTTGGTCTCATCCATTGTATCCTGTGAGGACACCAGGCCCACTGGTGTGACCGGGACATAGGTGATCTGAGGGCTGGTAGGATAAAAGGGTTGCATGCCAGGGTCATCCGTGTGAAGCTTCCATCTTGACCCTGTCCACTCCAGGAGGAGGCTCGCAGGATGGGTCTTGGCTCCCAGTGGGCTGGGGCTGGGTTCTTTCCATGGGGATCTGAGACTTAGGGGTGACCCGGCTCCACCACTCACTCCCAGGGCTAACCTGTGTCGCTTTCAAGTAGATAACTGTTCCACTGCCCATTTCCCAAGGGAGGAAACGCCCACAAACGGCGGGAGGTGGAGTCAGGGACCGGGCTGGGACCCGGATCTCTTAACCTCTAAGTTTAGATGGTCCCCCAAGCTTTGGATTCTTAAGTCCCAGGCCAAGGCCTCTACCCCCACCCCCCGGGAGAAATCGGGAAGGTTGCTTGGATACCAGAGAGCTCAGTGTGGGAAGAACCTAGACATGGGTAAGTGTGCTGGAGGAATTTTGAGCAGGGAGAAAGGAATGAGCAGAGGATGCGTTGCATGTGGGCCTGACACTGAATGATCTGGTCCTGTCAACACTTCCTGAAGGTTAAGATGTTCGCGAGGAAAGCAGGCTGTTCAGCCCTAAGTATGGGTGGAACGGCCCCTCCTTAAAACAAGACTTCTGCTCCAAAGATGGGACAAAACGAGAGGGGCACGCCCGCCCGGAAGGAAGTCAAATAAAGGCACTTCCGCCCTCCATTAAGATGTCGCCGGCGGAAGGGGCGGGGTACCGCCGGGTAGTGATGGCCGCGTCGAGGCTGGAGCTGAACTTGGTGCGGTTGCTGTGCCGCTGCGAAGCGATGGCAGCAGAGAAGCGGGACCCGGACGAGTGGCGTCTGGACAAGGTGAGGGGAGCCTGGGCTGCTGCGTAAAGCCTGACTCCGGTAGGGCGGCCCCTAGGGCTAGCAGCCACTGGGCTGGCCTCCCCCGCCCCACCAACCGCCCTGGTCACGCCCCTTCCGGTCGGCTTCTCTACGTCCACCAGCTGCTTCCTCCCTCGTCCCTGGGGCTCTTCTGGCCCCGCCTCCTTGACACCTTGGCCCCTCCTGCTTTCCAGCCCCGCCCCCTCCTACCCCCGCCTTTCGTTCTCTGCCACTCTTCGAGCGGATGGGGAGGAATGGGGGGACCCGGCTGACACCCACTTTCCCTCCCCAGTATGTGGGAGCCCTCGAGAACATGCTGCAGGCCCTGAAAGCCCAAGCGAGGTGAGTGCAGGTGGCCAGAGGGGTTTTAAATCCCGGGTGGGAGTGGAGGTCCCGGGGCCAGCTCCTGTTGGGGGACCCCTGGACTCCAGTTCCTGCTGGGACGCTTCCCTGAACTGGGCACAGCAGGCAGGTTTCCTTTTTCTACGTCTTGTCATCCAGCAAACCGGCCTCCGAGGTGATCAATGAATATTCCCGCAAGGTAGACTTTCTCAAGGGGATGCTGCAGGCGGAGAAGCTGGTGAGCTGGGGCACTTCTGCTTCCTCAGCCCTCATCACGTTTTCCTGGGTCCCGCCCCTCTGGTGACTCTTCCTCCCTCTTCTGCAGACCTCCTCCTCGGAGAAGGCACTAGCCAACCAGTTCCTGGCCCCTGGCCGCGTGCCAACCACAGCCAGGGAGCGGGTGCCCGCCACCAAGACTGTACATCTGCAGTCACGGGCTCGTTACACCGGTGAGATGCGGAGTGAGCTGTTAGGCACGGTACGGCTCCCTCCCTGGTCCCTGGGAACCTTTCATTCATTAGGGACAGGAGTTCAGTGCCTGGGGAGGTCCAGAACAACAAATACCATCAGGTACAAGGACCCTAGGGGACCCAACAGCCGCTCCCCTAAGCCGTAAAACAAGGCTTTCCAAAAGAAGGGCGTTGTAACCAGGGCTTTGCTAGAGGAATGAGTTTGTTTGGTACAAAGCAAAAGTGGTACATGTCTGGTTAAGCCAGAGTTGGCCCAGTGCAAACCCAGAGTTTGGCTCCTAGCTTGCCACTTTCCACAGATAGACAAGGTTTTTTCATCTGTAAAATAGGATGACAGTACCTTTCTGATCACTTTACGTAAATCAGCTAAACCCTTCAAAGTGTAAGCTGTTGTCATTACCAGTTTATAGATGAGAAAACTGAGGCTCAAAGGTCACAAGACTTGCCCAGGACCCTAAAGGACTCAGGTTCTGAGAGCAAAAAGAACAGGTTTGGGGGCATATGAAGGTAATTGACTTCCTGCCTGTCCCTTTTTCCCACAGGACTCTGCTGGAGGTGAGTCACCCTGAGTAGAACAGGATTCAAGTCCTCAGCTGCTTGGGACAGGACATGTGTTCTTGCTACCCCCCATCCTTTGTGCCTCATCTAGCTCCCACAGGGTCCTGCAGCCTAGAGAGAGTGTCCCTGGGGGCATCACCAAGTCATTCCTGGAGGGGGTCTGGGAAGAGAGAGGAGGTGGCCCCCAGAGAAAACAGAAGAGGGAGGGACCTGGGACCTAGGGAAACCCAGATGGGGGTAAGGAAAATATCCCGGACAAGAGGGCATTTGAGCTAGAGCTTTGAGGCATGATCAAGAGCCCACTGGGCAGCAGACAAGATGGGAAAGGGCATTATGGTAGCAGACCCATAATGCTCAGGAAGCTGGAACACAGGAAACCAATCCTTTCCTTCCTGCTTGTCCTGTTCTGCTTCCAGAGCCACAGCCGGACGTCAGGAAGAGAATGTGAGTGTCTTCAGCCCTTGGGCAGAACTGGGGGGCAAAGGGGCTAGACAGACCTTGAGCCACTGAGGCACCACCACAAGCATCTAAATCACCCATCAGTTGACACTTCTGAGAATGCTCTTCCCAGAAACCAAAACAAAGAAGGGGAAACTGAGCCCCAAGTAGGGCAGTGGCTGTAGTCATCACTTCTGGATTCCCTGGGAACATGTTGGTCTCTTCCCCTCCCCCACCCCATCTTACATCCACCCATGTGTGGGGTCAGTGGGGTGGCAGGGCCCAGGCCAGGAGATGAGAAGCAGTCGGCAGCCGAGCTAGACCTCGTCCTGCAACAACACCAGAACCTCCAGGAAAAGCTGGCAGAAGAAATGCTAGATCTGGCCCGGAGCCTAAAGACCAACACACTGGCCGCCCAGAGCGTCATTAAGAAGGACAACCAGGTGTGAGGACTATGGGGATTCTGCAGCCTCTACCCTGGGGCATCAGAGAAGTTTTCCCAACAGAGGGGCATAGTGGCTGGGGCTTGGCTGGATAAATAGGAATTTGGTAGAAGGCAAAAAATGGCATTCCTAGCAGAGGAAACAGCACCAGCAAGGGTCAAGAGGTGCTGACTTGCCCCAGGGCAGTAGGGAGAGGCCACACTCAACCCCAGTCCTATTGATAGCCCTCCCCACCTCACCCACAGACCCTGTCACATTCACTCAAGATGGCTGACCAGAACCTGGAGAAGCTGAAGACAGAATCAGAGCGGCTGGAGCAGCACACACAGAAGTCGGTCAACTGGCTGCTCTGGGCCATGCTTATCATAGTCTGCTTCATTTTCATCAGCATGATCCTCTTCATCCGTATCATGCCCAAACTCAAATAAACTTGGCCCGGCCTACCCCATCTGTCTTGTGTCTGCCCTCCATGCTTGTCCAGATGTACCCTTTGGGGTGCACAAAAAGATAAGTAGCCCTTGGAGGTCCCCAAGAGCCAGAGAGTACATGAGCAGGGGAGGAAGAAGATCAGGCTTTGGGCCGGGGTGGTGGCTTAGCAACCCCCTCCCCATTTCCCCCTGGTACCTACCCCACACTGGACAAGGTGTGGCCCCTAGAGGCCCCAGGAGTCCCCAGTATGGTAGAGTCAGAACAAAACAATGTCTTCAGCCCTGTGGAGTCAGGGTGAGACATGGAGGGTGGAGGAGGAGTGGGGCCATACCTGGAGATCAGCCTGGAGGAGGGGGCATTGGTGCTCGACCTTCCTTGTGATTGAAGGTGGTAATTCAGGGGTAGTGCTCAGCACAGCCTAAGCTCTCAGGATTTTGCAGATGTGCTTCACACAGTTATTCAGCAAACAGCAGGGTTGGTGGAGGCCCTGCTCTGCCCAGGCCATAGTCTGATCATTTCAGACGATAACTGGGTGGGCACTGGAATTAGGACCCTGGAAGGGATCATGAGTGGGAAGTTCAGGGGAACAGTGGGTCCTAACCTCTGTCTACCCTCACTCCAGACTTTGGAGGCAAAGCCCCCAAAAGTGTGGTGACCAAGGGGGCTCAGTGAGGGAATGTAGACAGGTGCACAGGTATATGTCTGTCCCAGACCCTTGGGAGCATGAGCAGGCACTGTGGGACACGCATGAAGGTGCCCACATGGAGTCCCATCGACACTGTACAAAAACACCAAGTAAAGCTTTTTAGAAGCTCTAGTGGCAGCTTTTAAAAAAAAGACCTTAGGGCCAGCCGAATGGCTCGTTGGTTAAGAATTGGCTTGGGAGTGCGAGCTCTGAGCAGCTGGGCCACCGGTTCGGATCCCACATGGGCCTGTGACGCTGTGCCCTCTGCAGCTGAGATGGTAAACGACAGCTTGACCTGGAGCTGGGCTGCTGTGGGTCGCTGGCGGCGTGGGCTGCAGTGGGCTGCCGTAAGCCACCATGGGTGGCCGGCAGCCAGAGTGAGCCACTGAGTGGCTGGCAGCCAGTGTGAGCTACCGTGAGCCAATGGCCGGCAGCCGATCTGCCTCAGCTGGGAAGAGCACAGTGATCACAATACCAACATGGGCCAATTAAGTGACGTTCTCCACAACTAGACTAAAGAACAAAAAAGACAGCAACTTGTCTATTCCCCTTCCCCAATTACCCAATGCTGTTCCCTCCCCCAATTCCCCAATAAAATTTTTTTTAAATAATAAAATAAAAAATAGATCTTAAAAAGGAGGCTAATGCTTGAGATCCAGGAATAGTTCAATATTAGGAAGGCTGTCAGTAGCCACATTAATGCAACAGGAAGCAAAACCATAGAGTAGGTAGGGTGAAATGGTACTCCGTACTTGGTTGCTGAACAGTACAAAGATCTGTTACAAAGATCTCTTTAAAAATAAGAAATAGGTTTTTTCCCCTTATTTAGCTGAAAAATCTCAAGCCAAAGGCAGCACTGACTTTAATGGGCAAATACTGGAAGTTCTGCCATCAAAGTGAGAAGGTGGGGGGATGCCCACAGTCCACCCACGTCCCCCAATGATTTAACATTGTCTGGAGGTGTTAGTCAATGCAACTGGACAAGAAATGAGATTGAAAAATGAGAAGAGGCAAAATTATTTGCAGATAATATGACTGTCTATGAAAGACCCAAACAAACTAAAAAGCTATTTTAATAATTCAATAAACTAGTAAGGGACTTGATGAGTATTTAAATTGGTTTCCTATATGCAAAAAAACCTGAAAACTATATTGGAAGATCCCATTTATAATAGCAACAAAAAGACATTATTTGTCTAAACTAACTTCTTCAATATAGGAAGAGCTGCAAAAAAATCAACAAGAAAAAGATTTGCAGGAAATAGAAAAAGAAATTCAAATGGTTTCTAAACTTTCACTCACCAGATTAGGTGAGATTGAAAACTTTAAAAATACATTTGTGGAACTAAAATTGAAGGACAACAACTTGGCTGTTCCCCAATACTGTCCCCCTCCCCCAAAAAATACATTTGTGGAAAACCATAATAACAGGGTTGCAAAGATTTTGGGAAAACCAGCGTTTCTTTACATGCTAGTCAGATCATCAAAAACACCTCACTGAAGAACAACTTAACAGTATCTTTCCAAATTAAAATGCACAGATCCCTCTGCCAGGTAATTCCACTTCTAGGGATTTATCCCACAGATAATCCTCCCACAAATGGCCAAATAAATTTGCAGGTGAACATTTTTCTAGTATTGTCTGTAATGAAAAAATGTATCTGTTTGCCACTGAATTAGGACCTTTCCATTAGGAGACACAATTAAGTGCTGCTTCTGGAGACGGACGGATAAAAATTTCACTTTTGCCCTATAAGTCTTTTCTATTGTTTGGCCTTTCTAAGCATGCCTCTAGTGATTAGAGAAATATTAAAAATATAATTGCCTTGTAAATTAAGTGCAAGTTCGCAAAAAAAAAACAAACACCGGTTTTTCAGACAGACTGAGGGCCTGAGAGGGTGTCACCAGCCGCCCCCCCCACACACACACACACACAAACACACAGCCGGTTGGGATCTCCGTTGCACTGGAATCTGCGCTTCAAGGGTGTGAGTCCACTTCCACTGTCGCCAGGCCCGCCCCCTCGCCGTCAGCCCCGCCCCTGCTATGCGGAGCAATTCGGCTAGTTGGGTCCAACCTGCAGTTAATGCACAATCCGGACTCAGGCGGCCCCGTGAGTGGATCTAGGCACGGAGCCCAGACGCTGGGACAGGTAACCCGCCCCCCCTCCCCACAAAGGAAGCTGTCCGTGTGGCGCCCAGCCGGGACGAGGGTCCCGAGGGGGCTTCTCCAGGGAGTTGTCCGCGGGCTCTGTGCACCTCAGCGGGCGAGGATGCGGAGAGCGGGAGTTAACGCGAGCCAGGCCCGGGATACGCGGTGGCGTCATGGGTCATTTGCATAGCGCTTTTCCGGGTTACACAGCCGGGTTACTCTTGAGAACCAATTGCGTATGTCTATGCAAATACGATGGGGCTGGGAACGCGCTAGTGGCTGGAGAGTTGGCCGCCGCCGGGTTCGCCTCCAGGTGCATTCTTCTCCCGTGTCTACAGGCTGCCCGCCGACCACACCCGCCACGCGCGGGCCACGACGCCCCGCGCAGGACCTGCCCGCAAGTCCCGGGACTTCCGAGCGGCGCCTCCCCGAGGCAGATGCCCTCTCGGGAGCCCCCCAAAACCCGCGGCTCCCGGGGGGACCTGCATGCCCTCCCGCGTGGCGCGGGGCCCCCGGTAAGTCTGAATGGGAGGAGGGTCCCCTTGCCGAGCCTAGGCAAAGGATTCATTCCCTCCAATTTAAAGGATCCTGTCTTCCCCATACCCTGGTTAACTCCAAATCATGATTCCTGCGGCGTCTGCAGAGAGTGACGCCTCGAGGCCTGGAAACCAGCGTCTACCGTCCTTTGTGCCAACCCCAGCCAGGAGCCTACAGGGTGCGGGCCAAGAAGATTGTATTTGAGGATGAGCTGCCCTCCAGGCCCCTCCTGGGCACCAAGAAGCCTGTTGGATCTATCCCTGGGGGGCATATGCCAAGGCCTCACCCATTGCCGGACTATGAGCTGTGAGTCTCCCATGTGGTTGCTGATGCTTGGAAACAGGAAAGGCACTGAGTTTGAGACTTTGACAAGTGAATAAAAGTTGGCCAATCAGTAAGAGAAAAGGGGAATTTTGATCAGGGAGCCCAGAATGAGCAAAGAAAAACAAATTACACTGATTGGGGGAAAGGCAGGGGTTCTTTTTTTTTTTTTAAGATTTTATTGGGGAATTGGGGAAGGGGAACAGCCAAGTTGTTGTCCTTCAATCTTAGTTGTGGAGAGCGCAGCTAGCTCAGCTCCAAGTCCAGTCGCCATCCAGCTGCCCATCTGCAGCTCCTGTCGGCTCAGCTCAGTTCAATCTTAGTTGCCTGTGGGCATAGCCCACCATCCCATGTGGGAGTCAAACTGGCAACATTGTTGTTAGGAGCACATGCTCTCACCAGCTGAGCCATCCTGCCACCTGTTGGCACCTCAGCAGCAGCTCAGTTCGGGTCGCAGCTCACTGGCCCATGTGGGAATCAAACCGGCGATCCTGTTGCACATAGCTTACGCTCTTAACCAACTGAGCCACTTGGCCAGCCCAGCAGGGGTTCTTTACACTCACACTCTGCCCTACTTTCAACCTCATGCAGCAAGTACCCAGCAGTGAGCAGTGAGAGGGAACGGAGCCGCTATGCTGCGGTGTTCCAGGACCAGTATGCAGAATTCTTGGACCTCCAGCAGAAGGTGGGCTCTGCACAGGCAAAGCTCCAGCAGCTGGAGGCCCTGCTGACCTCACTGCCTGTGCCCCGAAGCCAGGTGAGCAACTGGATGGAAACCCCCACCCCACAGGCCTTCCAGGTGGTGGGGCTCTGGCCTCCAGCACACCTCTTGGGTCCAGATCTCCAGACCTCTTCCTCTTCCAGGCTGGGCTGGCACCACAGCACATGGGCCAACATCAGCCCTTGAGGTCCTCCCTAGGTGGATCGCTGTGTCTCTCTGAGCTTCAGTTTCCCAATCCCACCTTGGGTCCAGCACCCCTGAGTCACCCTCCTCCTTCTCCCCTTGCAGAAGGAGGCTCAAGTCACAGCTCGTGTCTGGAGGGAATTTGAGAAGAAGCAGATGGTGAGTCATGGCCTCCTGAGTCCCACAGCCTGGCCTTTGGACCCCCAACACTTCCATGAGTGCCCAGTTTCCAGGAAAGAAAACCAAGGCTCAGAGAGGAAAAGCAAAGGGTGGAGTAGCTCAAGGGCCGTAGGCTAGACTGCCCCAAGAACTTCCCCGGCTCTCACCCTGCCCAGGACCCCAGCTTTCTGGACAAGCAGGCTCGCTGCCGCTACCTGAAGAACAAACTAAGGCACCTCAAGGCACAGATCCAGAAATTTGATGACCAAGGAGACAGTGAGGGCTCTGTGTACTTCTGAGCATCCTGGCAAACAAGCAGAGGGACACATCAGGATGGGGGGCCCCCCTTGCCCTTGCTTCTCTATCTACCTCTCAGCTTTAGCTCTTACTCTTCCCCCTGATTGCAAATGCCTCAGCTTTTGAGGGTTAGCTCTGATGAACCCCTTCTCCAGGAAGCCTACCCAGGACCTCCTTAGGAACCCAGCCCTGACCCTATGGGGACCCCAGATCCAGCCCCATCCCCTGGAAGCAGGTCCTGCTTTCCCCATCCCAGTGGAATAAACATTTCTTAAATACATGCTATGTATAGCTACTTAACATTCAGTTGTCACCAAAAAGTTGTTCTTCCATTTTCCAGAGAAAAAAATATCAAGGTTCTGAGATCTAGACTTGTCCAGGGTCTCCAGGCATGGTATGATCCCTTGTCTATCCGGGGGCCTCCCTCTTCTCCAAGAGCCTCAAGTGGCCCTTCTGGTGGGAAGCTGAGGGGCCAACATCCAGCATTACCTTTTTGGCCAGGCTTGGGATGGCGGAGTCCCAGGGGCCAGGAGTTTCCACTGATCCAGTAATGGAGGCAGAGGACCCTAGCTAGAGTCTTGCTTGGGTAGGGCCCAGGAGAATTCATGTGGTGCAATGCTGGGGACCACCTGAAGGGGGCAGACTCAGCCTGGAGTCTTACAGGAGGCCCTGATGCCAACCAAATAAATGGGTCCCTGTGATTCTCCACTTCTGGGCACTACAGGCTGAATGGTGACTGACCCCAGGCACTGTGTGAGCACAGTTCACATGCCTGGCCCTAGGGTAGGATCCTCTGGTGTCGACCCTATGCCAGGTCCTGGGTAGGGTTGGTTGGGACGCCAGTAGGGCCAGGCTCCCTGTGGGGCCGTGTCCTGATAACCCAGCAGCTGCCCTCTTTGAGTCTTGGCCTTCCTGGGGGAGCCACAAGAGACGGACAATCCGGGAGGCAGACTGCAGGCAGGGAAGGCAGTGCCAGCCACTGGGTCACAGAGAGGCCCCCATCCCCAGATTGGTCCTCATGGAGCCCCATCCTCAGGGAAGACAGCCCTGGACGCAGCGTGACAGAGTGATAACAGAGGGCTGGATGGCAGTCTTAACAACAAGGGGGGCTCAAGATAACTTCTTGGAGGAAGGGCCATAGGGTAGGGTTTTGTAGAAGTTCAGCAGTCGGGCCTGGACAGACATCCAAGTCTCTGGCTTGGGGGCTGGAAGCAAAACAGGTGCAGTAGTCTTATTCGGTCCTCAGGTGTCCTGTGAATCAGAGAAATGGGGCATTGCTGCCCAGTCCGACTAAAGGGGACATACATTCACTTACCCACAGGACATCTCAGAAGATGCTGACCCAGGACAGGGACCAGTCCAGCCTGCAATGGGTTTCCAGTCACCTCTCCATCCCACTCCCACTTTAGTTCCCTTGTGGGGGCAGGGCATACCCACAAGACCCTGATTCATTCCACAGGAAATGGCCTTATACCCCCATCTTCCCAGACCTCTTCCCAGATGGACATGGCAGAGGCTGAGGTGCTAATGGGGAGCCTCTGAAAGAACTGGGACTGCCTTAAGGGCTAAGCCCTAGCCCAACTTTCAGGGTGAGACCCAAGTTCTTCCCTGTTTTCAAAGGGGCATCTTTGATGGAGGGCTTGTCTCTGCATGGCAAGACCTCAGTCAGGCCCACCAGTCTAGGCCCTTTCTACCTACCCCCAGAGCCACAGTCCTGGCAGTAACTCCCATAGATGCCTTTCCCACTGCAGCGCTGGGCTGCAAACTTGAGGTCAGGATGGCAAGGTCCCTGGTGACCTGTATCACCCCAGATCAACTCAGTAAGTCCACATTTCAAAGTTTGTCCTTAGAGGTCCCCGCCTTTCAAATGCCAATCTCTGAAATAGGTTTTTTATTATAGTTACATATGGACTCAAACTGACTCAGGCACAAAAGGGGAAGTCTGGGCTCATGGAATTGAAACAACCAAGGGTTTCAGGTATGGCTTGATCCAGGGGCTCCTAAGGCATCTTGGGAAATTGGTCTTCCTCTTTTGCCTCTTCTTTGCTTTGATTATAGCCTCCTAGTTCCAAATCTTGCCATCCAGTCTCATTGGCCAGTTCTGGGCCACATGCTCTCCCTGAACCAATAACTGTGGCCAAGGGAATAGAGGGCTCTGTTTGGGCTAACATGAAACAGAACTAGCCCAATGTTTCTCCTGAGGACACTGGGGCCCAGACACCATGATTAAGGGCTGACCAAAGAAAACAATGAGGTGTTTAGTCCAGGGCATATGTGAATCAATGAGGCTCACTTTCAGAAGCTAGAGCCAGAATTTGAACCTGAGCCATCTGTTGGGCTTAATTTCTAGACTCACTGGCTGACCTCAGGCCCCCCTCGCTGCCCCTAACCTGTTTCCCCATAACACTGTTCAACAAAAGCAGCAAGTAGGGCTCTTGTTAGGTTATGGGTATTCCAGATGGCTGGGAGTAGGTCCCCATGGTACGGTACCCTCCCCTCAAAAAACGACAGAGGCTGTGCAGGTAGGAAACACCTTTATAATTGGCCTTGATTCATTCATCATGTAGTGTCCAATGTGGATCACATGTCCAGAGATGCGTGGCGCACACAACCCCTGCCCAGCTGCAGCTGTCCCTCCAGTCCAGATGCCAGGCCTCTGTCCATCATGCCAGGGAAGCCAGCCCTAATGTCCCATGAGTTCGTGCCTGGGGCGCTGAGGGACGGGGCTGTCCCAGGATTGGAACCTCAGTCCCTTGCTCAATCTTAGTCAGGGTTTCTGGGGAGGACGAAGCTGGAGCCTGGACAATTGATCAGTCACTTTTTGGTTTCATGATCATTTAAAAAACAGAAAAGACAAACATTTCACAGTCTTTAAAAAATAGGAGTCTGAGGAGAAAGGCTGGGGTCCTCCATCTGGTAGTCCCCTCTGAGGCCCAAGCAGCCACATCCCTTGAGGTCTGCAAACCCCACCACAGTGCCCTGGGTCCTGTGCAGTCACTGCCCCGAGCCATAGGGCCAGTTGAAGGTACTCCCGGATAGCAACATGTCTCGAATCAGTGTCTCGATGGGCGTCTTGCCAACCAGGCGCATGAAGAATAGCTGGGAGATGAGGGAGGCAGGGACAGCACGCAGGGCAGGGAGCCGAAGCAGCAGGCGCCCGAAGCGCTGGGGCTGGGATGGGTACTGGGCCCGCACATACTCGGTGAGAGCCACCTGCGCCTTCTCCTGCAGGCTCTCCACGTGCGCTGGATCTGAGAGGCCACAGGCATCTGAGAGGACAAGGGCAAAGTCAGATGGGGTGGGAGGTGGTGAGAGGACACAGGGCCCCAGAGGTGATTGGGGACACCACTCGGGGCTTTGGATATGGAGGGAGAGGGGCACTCAGGAGGTGGGAGGTAGGGGCCTGGGGCACAAATGGTGGTATCTAAGGCAGTGTCAGTCCTCAAGAGATATGGAGGTGGCTTCATCTGAGGACAAGGACACAGGGGTGCAGGCAGTGATACCTCAAGGGTGGATGGGGCCCCAACTCAAACCTTGTCATGGAGAAAAGTTCTAATCAAGCTCAAGGGGAAGAGGGGGCTGAGGAGTGGACTTGGGGAGGAAGGCATGAGTGAATGTTGACAGCATCTAGATGGGGCCCCTTGAAAGTGGGGGTGCAGAGAAGGGGTCTTCTGGGGAAAGGAGAGCAAAGCCATTATTTATCAGACGAAAGCCACCTCCTAAAATGGCCTGGATTGGGTTCTGCAACTCTGGCCCCAAGAAGACACCAAGTAGGGTCTAGAACCTTCCAGAGTTGAGCCAGCTGTGCCACCAGTCCCTAGAATTAAGTTTTGGCTGCTGGATGGCTACAGTTGTCAAGGAAGGTACTAAGACAGCCCCCACTCCCCCATAGGCAAGGCCTCCAGGCTACATCCCTTCTCAATCCCAGGCAGCCCTGGCCACCTGGAGGCTGCCAAGGGGGCTGGTTGGGGGCCCTAGGTCAGAGGTCTGGGATCACAGGAATTAGGGAATGGAGGGCCCAGGACCAGGTGTCAGGGAACCCCTGCCTGGTAGCCCTTCATAAGTGCTCAGTAAATAGGAAGAGCACCCTGATCTGGGGGACTAGCGTCAGAGGGTTTGAGGGGCCAGAGATCAGGGAATGGGGGGCAGAGGAGGCCAGACCAGGTGTCAAGGACCTCCCCTCTCAGACCACCACCTCATTCTGCTAGCACAAAGAGCACTTTGATGACAGGATGGACATTTGAGGGGTGGGGCATCTCAGGGAGCCCAGAAATAAGGAGAGGTTGTGGGAACCTGAGTCACCAGTCCAGACCCAGCCTGGGGTCTGAGAGGCCAGAATCATAATTCTTAGGGAGACCTGGAATCCAGAGTGGGGGCATCAGGATGTCACACGGCCTGCACCACCTCCTCCACTGCCTCTATCAGCGCTCACTGCGTGTGCAGGGCCACAGGTCTGGCAGACGGGGGGTCACGGAATGGAGGGCTATGGGGTCGCAACCTCCCCTCCCCCCAGAGTCCCCCCTAGCCACTCCTTGGAGCGCATCTCACCAGGCGTGAAAAGCGCGATAGCCTTGAGGCAGCCATACTCAGCGGAGTCGACCTGCAGGCGGCCAAGCTTGTCCACCTGCTCCTGGAAGGCGCGCACCTGGTCCATGAAAGCCACAGCGCGCTCGGCGGCCATGGGCGCGGCGTGCAGACCAGCCGCAGCCAGCAGTGGCGCCGTGTGCAGGGGCAAAGCAGCCTGCGCTGCGTTCAGCACGAACAGCTCGCTCCAGCTCAGGCGCAGCAGCGCCACCTGGTCGGCCACCGGCAGGTCCGGGAAGAAGGGTGCGTGACGCGCCCACTCCACGGTGCTGAACAGCAGCCGCGCTGCCAGCTCACACACGTTGTCGATTCCCAGCACCGCGCCCGCCGCGCCGCCGCCCGCGCCGAAACGCCCGGCTGCAGCGGGGTAGGGCTCCGCGCGCAGCAGCTGCGCAATCAGCTCCGACACCGGTTGCCCTGGGAAGAGGTCCCCGCCTGCCGCAGCTGCGGCCAACGCCGAGCCTTGGGGGCTGCCCGAGGAGGTGGCCACAGCGCCGGGCAGCGAGTGCGGGATGCGGCCGCGCTGGACCGCTGGGAATGGAGAATGGAGATGGGCAGGAGTGAGGGGAAGGGAATAGGAGGGGAGGGAAGGGAGACAGGAGATGGGGGGGACAAGAATTCCGAGTGGGGATGAGGGGTCAGGAGATGTGGAAGGAGTGACCAAAATGGGTCCAGGAGGATGGAGGAGCATGGGAA